TGACTAAGAGAGCCATGAAAGCAAAAAATTTGGAAATTTATTTCAGTGAGAGCCATATAATATATTTTAAAAGTGAATTCAACTAAATGTCAGTATAATAAGCCTCTGAATTTATTCTTTTAAATAATGTTGTTATAACACTCACCATTAATGCGACTTCTGGTGCTGCATGGATTTGCTGATGTCTTTGTAGTCGGGTTGGTACTTGGTGAGGTTAAGCTTCATGCAAGCGTTGAGGCTTTCATCCGTTAAACGTGATCGTAGGTTGGACTTGATGTTTTTAAGATGTGAGAATGACTGCTCACATGCATACGTAGATCCAAACATGGTCAATACAGCAATACTCACACGCTGCAGTGTGTGGTATGTGACAGGAAGCGCGTTCCAAGTTTTGAGAATCAGCTGGTCTTCGGGTTGGAATTTTTTCATTTCTGTCCACATGTGCTTGCTCGCCAACTCCGCTTTCTGTCGTGTGATTCTTTCCAAATCTTCATTCAGTGACTTGAACTTATTCACCCACATGTCTGAGGCCTTCAGGTCAGCCACTTCTGCTTCAAAATCTCTGACGGAGACACCAGGGATGTAATTCAGGTCGGCTGTGTTCAGTGAACACTCGTTTGGATGGGTGATGAACTTAAAAAGACGAGTGTGCTCACGAAATTCTCCAAAGCGTGCTTTGAAGGACTGTAGGAGACTGGATGTGCAGCCAGCTAGCTGGTGGAGATCAAGGTTTTGAATGGGCTCACTTGCTGTGCATGCATCTTTAAATTGGCTCAGTTTTTCAAAATGTAGTAAACGACCTGTTTCAAGATCCGTGATGAAAAGCTCCAGCTTGTTTTCAAAAGCAAATACAGCTTGTTGAAGGGATAACACTGTATTTCCAATGCCTTGCATTTTCACGTTGAGCTGGTTCAGATGTTCAGTCAGATCTACGAGATAGTAAAACTTGAGGAGCCACTCGGTGTCGGCTAGCTCAGGATGCCCGACGCCTTTCATTTCAAGGAAAGTCCGGATTTCGTTCAGGCAAGCCGCAAAACGGCTAAGCACCTTCCCTCTTGACAACCAACGCACATTGCTGTGCAAAAGCAGACCAGGATAGTTATTTACAACTTCATCCAGCAGTGTTTTAAACTGGCGATCATTTAAGGCTCGGGCAACAATAAAGTTGATCACACGAATGACCAGCGACATCACTTCGCCAAACTGCCTGTCACACATCTGAGCACAAAGTGCCTCCTGGTGTATAATGCAATGGAAACTTAGGATGGGTCTATTTTCATGTTCACGGAGAAGCGCCACAAATGCTTTGTTTTTCCCCACCATACACGGAGCACCATCAGTACACACTGAGAGAAGTTTATCCATAGGTAGACTTTTTTCTTGAGCAAACTCCATGAAAGACTTGAATAAATCCTCACCTCTTGTGGACCCTTTTAATGGCAGAACAGCAAGACTTTCTTCGCGCAGTGTGTCACCAACAGCATATCTTGCAATCACGCTGAACTGCGACAAATGGCTCACGTCTGTTGACTCATCCAAAGCCAGAGAAAAGAACGGCGCTGCATTTATGTCCTTCACTTGCGTTTCCTCCACTTTGTTTGCCATCACGATGGTACGATCATGAACAGTTCTTGCCGACAGAGGCATGTCTTGTATCCGTTTGATTATCTTGTCTTTGTTCGGAAGATCATCAAAAAGTTCATTGGCTACATCCAGCATGAACGTTTTAGCATACTCGCCATCTGTGAATGGTTTTCCGTTCCTCACTATTGCTAAAGAACCAGCAAAGCTAGCCGAATTATAGTCACCTTGCCGGGTCCATACGCGGAGTTGCTGCTGGCTAGCTTGCACCCTGCTCAGAAGCTCTTGGCACGCTTTCTTTCTGCTGTCTCCCGCAGGGTATTTTGATGCAAAGGTAGCGTGGCGCGTGTCGAAGTGCCGCTTTACATTCGACCGTTTCAACGATGTAATTTTGTCATTGCAAATTAGACACACCGCAGAACCCGCTCTCTCCACAAAGGCGAATTCTTCGGTCCATTCGTCCTGAAATGTACGATACTCGTCGTCTTTTTTTCTTTTCGCCATCTTCTTCGTCGAAGGGTTAGCTTTGAGCTAATGACCGAGCAGACGCAGTCTCAGACTGATTCAAAAGGGGGCGTTTACCTGTTTTACCCAGCAACGGCAAACGTAGGCCAGTATCATCCAATTAAAATAATGGACAATTGCTCCTGCAGCCCTGAACAGGACATGCGCAGTGAAAAATCGATGGATGGATTAAAACAAGTGAGAATATTTTGTTTTATCTGCGAGCCATATGCAATCATCAAAAGAGCCACATCTGGCTCGCGAGCCATAGGTTCCCGACCCCTGCTATACCAGAAAGCTGCATAATCTGGAGGGGGGAACGTCCGGCCTGTGGGCCGTATAAGGCCCGCGAAATAATTTGGTCTGGCCCTGCCAAGGCAACCGCACGACTTGAAATTCAATCAATCTAGGAGCTTTTTTCATAGCAACGTAAATTTTATTTTGTATGGCCCGCGAATGATGTTACAAATATCCAAATGGCCCTTGGCAGAAAAAAAGGTTCCCCACCCCTGAGTTTTAAAGGGAGGGGTGAGAACACGCAGACTCCACGCAGATAGGCAGGCCGAGTCGGGAGCTGAACCCGGGTATTTTATTTTAATAATATGAACGCCCAACTTTATCTGTGATGAATATGATGAACGCTGAACTTCCCGTCGTTTTCATGCAGGGGGCGCTGCAAACCCACGCGCCCCCTGCATGAACGACGGAGGCGGAGGGACAGACGTTCGATTACGTTGGAATCGATCTGCAGACGGCGGTCTTCTCGCACGGCCAGCAGCTCTGTGTCGCCTTATCTCGATCCCGCAATCCGAAACAGGTGAAAGTCCGCATCGAACCGAACCCCCAGCAAGGCCATCTACTTAACGACGAGATGAAATGCACACGAAATGTCCTTTTCAATGAAGTCTTCCAGATGTAAAATGATACAAGCTTTTAATGAAGAAATAAAAAAATATCTAATTCAAAACATAAGACAATTAAAAGATGTTTCATTTTAAAACTTCAAAACGGAGCATCGGGTGCTTGCATAATTGCGTCGTTCGTGTGAAAAAAATTTCGTGACTTTCCTGGCCGAAGGCCACCATGGGAGTGTCCGGGCACAGCACATGGGGAGGAGTATTGGGGTGAAAGAAGTGGATTTGCAACACAAAGATCCCCCGTGTAGCCTGTAACAGACTGTCGGGGCAAGTGCTGTTAGCGAGCAGCTATGAAGGCCGGAACGGATGGGTGGCCAGCACCACGCCCGACCACCTTTGTCTCCCCAGTGGCGATGTTTACACACCGCACCAGGTTACTCATTTGAGGCTGAGTCGACCTGGGGGAAGCCCCAAGACCGGTTCAGATAATGGTCACTGGTGTTGGTGGCCGTGAGCAGGAATCGAACTCGGGTGGCCGGGTTCAGTAGATGACAAAAGTGTCATCCACGTACCTCTGACACTTTTGTCATCTGGCCACATGGCCCGCCTGCTCTAGACCAATTCTTCGACCACATCGATTCCATACACCCAGCCATCAGATTTAACATGGAAGTCGAAAAAGATGGCAAGCTACCTTTTTTGGATGTCCTAATAAAAAAGAGACCTGATGGTTCAATGAGCCACTTTGTCTACAGGAAAGCTACCCATACGGATGCTTATCTGAAACCGGATTCCCACCACCATCCATCACACGAGAATTCTCTCATCAAGACTCTGTATCATAGAGCCCAATGCATATCCGACCAGGAACACATAGGCAGTGAACTCAAGCACGTACACCAAGCTCTTAAGGCTAATGGTTACTCCGACTATACAATCCGCAAAGCTATCACTCAAACCATGAAGAAGGACCCTCTTGAGGAGCCTTTCAAAACCATCACTTTACCCTACATTGCGGGGATCACAAAAAAGATCTCCAAAATCTTGAATAAACACAAGATCCAGGTCCGTTTCAACACATTACATAAAATCCGTGATCTGGTTCCGTCTGTAAAAGATGTGATTCCGGACATACAGTACCCTGGTGTCTACAAACTAAGTTGCCTCTGTGGTAGTAGTTACATTGGAGAAACCAAACGTCATGTCTCGGACCGCATTCGTGAACACAAAGCAGACCTTAAACACGGTAGGACCAACACCTCGGCCGTGACAGATCATTGTTATAATTCAGTAGGCTCACATGACATTGACTTTTCCAAGACAGAGGTTCTTTGTAAGCCATCTGGCTACCATGAGAGATTCGTTCATGAGGCTATCCACATATACAAGCACAGAGACAATTTCAACCGAGAAGATGGATTCTGGCTTAGCAATCATTGGAAAGATTTGATAAACCATTTCAGGTCTTAATTGATTGTTTACGCTTACAGTGGCTTTCAGACAGCATACATTAATTTTTCGTCTCCCCCCTCCTCTTTTCAGAACATAGATGGACTAGTCCTTCTGAATAAACTGCCAAATCGCTGCGTGTGGCGCTGACGTTTTAATAAATAAATACACCGTTAAAAATAAATAAATTAATGCAAACCGACACACCTGATGACGATCGTTTGTGTTATGGTCGAAACGTCGTGAGAATTTTTATTTATATATATATATTTTATTATTTTATTGTTTCCCTTCAACGTGACTTTACCGAAAGCGCTAAGAATAAGTAGGACGTGTTGTCTATATAGTATTTATTTAAAGTTGCACATTTTTACGTGACGTCACATTTCTCAAACCCCCCCCCCCCGTCACACATCGTCACAAATGTCTGACCCCTCCCCCTAGGTGCGTGACGTCATTTATGGACGGCCCCTATGACTTCACCACTAGTTCACTGCACGTGGAATGTCACCCCCCATCGCCGTTCACACACAAACCGGTGGCTTTCACCCAATGGGCGCGTCGCGTTCTTCACGTCAGTGACCGATTTCCGAGCAACAGTTGCCGACGTTGCCTGGAAGTGACCCCGTCAGGTGACGCAGCTCGACTCGGTCGGGGTATAAGGCAGCGATGTCCCTGGGGGGCGCCACAGCCTCCACGCGGTTTGAGGTTCGGCGACACGAGGTGAGTTGCTTCCCAGTCACCGACAGAGTATCCAGCAGTGGATGTCTCTCGCTGTGTGTGCACGTGTCGACTCAGCCTCAAATTAGTACCTGGTGCGGTGTGTAGTAAACATCGTCACTAGGGAGACAAAGGCGGCCGGGCGTGGTGCTGACCACCCACTTTTTCGTGTTTGCCGTGCCGGCCTTCATAGGTGCTCGCTAACAGCACTTGCCCCTACAGCCTGTTAAGGCTACACGGGGGATCTTTGTGTATGTATACGTGTCACTCGGCCTCAAATCTAACATCGCCCACTGGGGATACAAAGGCGGCCGGGCGTGGTGTTGGCCACCCACACCCTCGTGTTGTCGTGCCGGCGTTCATAGGTGCTCGCTAACAGCACTTGCCCCTATAGTCTGTTAAGGCTACACGGGGGATCTTTGTCTTTGTGTGTGTTTAAGACTCCTGCGCTTGCCACCACGGACATCAAACACCGAGAAAAACATCCTCCCGTGTGCCCCGACTGGACCGACTGGACGACCGAGGTTTTTACTTATTTGCTTATTGTTACTACTACCACACGCTTTTATTTAACTCACTCTGTTGTTGTTGTATCCTCCAATCTTGTAACTCAATTTTACCCACTTCCCAATGTGGTATCGACTGCAAACTTGCTATACTTATGTCATACTAATGACAATACTATATTCTATCAAAATAAATATTTTAAAACATTTTTATATATGTTACTAGCTGTACTAACGGGCTTCGCCCGGGACTTGGATTCACGACGCCCGGCCGCCTTTGTCCCCCCAGTGGCGATGTTCACACAACCACAGCAGTTACTCGTTTGAGGCTGAGTCGATCTAGGGGAGGCCCAGGACCGGTTTAAATAATCGTCACCGGCGGTGGCCGTGAGCGGGAATCGAACTCGGGTCGCCGGGTTCGTAGCGCGGCGCGCTAACCACTACACTACAATGCGTTACGCTTCCACAAGCGCGGGTCACGTGACAGATTTGACGTCACAGCTCACTTGCCGTGCAAAAAAAATATGCATTATTGAGCTCCCCACCCACAAAAAGTGTATTTTTATAATTTCTGCATGGTGTATAGTCTGGAAAGTACCCACATGGCATGTCGGGAAGTAGGCTAAACATTTTGAACAGATACACAGAATCACAACTTTGCCTTTAACATATATGGAGATGTTTCGGCTTGGGTCTAATTGTCCACGCTCAACTCACGTTGGCTGTACATCACCACGGCCCCCTTACGTTATGGCAAACCTCGGGGCCACTTCCTGGAGTCGTGGAATTTTGCCATTACTAGTACGGTACATTTAATTAAAGCGTGTTTAAAAAAAAAGTATTTTTTTTTAATTACTTATTAACATCTAAATCCAGACGGCAAAACTCATTCCTTTAGAACTCGCGTGTTGCCCATTCGTGTTTAAGTTCGCTGTCCTTCCCCCGCACCTACCTGCGGTTAGCACGGCCGGCCACGTACGGCGCAAAAGAAGTTCAGCGTGCGCGCGTACAACGCAGGGTTCTCAGCGGTGCCAGCTCAGCGCTCTGACCTCGGGCGGGAGGGGGGAGGGTCACCCGGTCACCTCGTCAATGTTGAACTTCAGAAATGTTCACGCCCGTTGTTGTGGTCACAACAACGGTGGTCGCTTGTGTTGTGATTCGGTAAGCGGCCGTCCATGAATGACGTCACGCACCTAGGGGGGAGATCAGACATTTGTGACGACGTGTGACGAGGGGGGGGGGTGTGAGAAATCTGACGTCACATAAAAATGGGCAACTTTAAATATGGACAACACGTTCTACTTAATTATATAGACTATTTTTTATTAATGTTTTCTCCTACATCAGAGTGCAGCGCCACATTAAATACGCTCTGCAATGACAATTGTTTAAAACGATTTGAAGCATGTTTTATTTGGGGGGGGGCAGAGCTTTGTGACGTCATATTTGAGGGGGCGGTCTGACTTTTTGTGACGCCGTATGACGAGGGGGGTAAAAAATCGTCCAAAATCGCGTGACGTCATTTATGGACGGCCCCTAAGGACAAGTTCATCCATTGACCAGGGGGCAGACCTGCCATGCTCTGCAGTGAGTGCATGTGGTTTAGGGCGGTGTTCGTCGTTGAACAAGTGCCAGTGGACATTCCTGTGATGGGGTCCATCCCGTCTCTCCAACAACAGATGCTGCCTAAAATGTGCAACTAAAACGTGCGAGGATGAGATGCAATGCCTCATATATGACGCTCATTGGTTATACAGTCGTGGGGTTTGTGTAACTGCGTATCACTGCTCAACCCCAGCTATTAGTGCTTTGATATTTGCATTGGCCTTGGAGATTACTCAATTAATATTACACAAAGCATCAACTTCACACCCTACTGGGCAAAAAAAAAATGTCAGGACCCTCCTGAAATAATGTCGTGAGGCTTTTTCCCTGGGTAGACAAGCACGATGATATGAAATGCTTCGTAGCAGTAAACATCACGATAGGTAAAAGTCCGCTGTCATTATGACGTTCTTTGTGTTTGCAGTGAACTCCAATGATGGCGTCCAGCATTGAACTCGATCGGTTCTACAGCGAAGAGGTTGAGTTTCCACCTGGGCTGCTCGCTTCCCACATCGACACTGCTGAGCGCGAGGTTCGTACACTCCTGGAGGGGATGAGAAGCCTTCTGCGGCCAAACATAGATCCCTCGATTCAATATGACATCGTTCAAACCGGCAGCTCGTACGAAGGACTCAAGGTGAAGGGGGATATGGAGCTGGATTTTATGATCGTTCTCTGTCACCCGGAATTCAAGTTTATCCCCATCACCTCAGATTACAGTGGCTATCGTAAAATAAAAGCTGAGCAGCGACAACCACAATTCCAACTGCAAGCTACAAGTTGGAAATCATCAAGTCCCCCTCACTCATTTCAAAATGACTTTACCAGCAATGGATACCTGTTACCATCAAAAATCTATCAGTGGTTTCAGTCATTAGCAGACAGAGCAGTCAATGAAAACAAGTCTAAATTTGTTACAAAGTTTGTAGGCAACTTGCCAGCCCGTACGCTCATTTTAAATATTTGGCCCGATGTTGAAATCTGCGTGGACCTCGTCCCAGCGATCTACATTGGCAGAGACCTCTTCGTGGTGGCCAAACCCTTGAAGACATCCCCAGACCCAGATCTCTGGAGGCTGTCGTTCTCCGTCTTCGAGAAAAACATCCTCAGCCGGCTTCCAAGCTCCTCCTGCCACCTGAAGGCCCTGAAGATCCTCAAGTACCTGCGGGAGCACGACACTCGGCTGGAGGAGACGTCTCAGTTCGCGAGTGGACTCTGCTCGTACCACCTGAAGACGGCCTCCCTCCACCTGCTCGCGCGTCCAGCGCAGCCGCCGGACACCCCGGAGGGCCTGCACGAGCACCTGCACCAGCTGATGGACTTCCTCATTGAGTGCATGCAGAGAAGGGAACTCAACCACTTCTTTATGGGGAATCCATCGAGCCTGGCGAGGAACGCGCAAGTGCCCAGCAACATTACCGACTGGGAGTGCCGCCTCAATCTCTTCGGTGACACCGTTATGAATGAGTGCACCCTGAGCCAGGCGAGGGAGAGACTCAACAGGATTAAACGATCTCTGCCTGCCGTAATCCAACAGCATTCTGGCCCCGGCACCAGAATTCTGGCACCAGGGCCTTCGCCGGGATATCACGATATCGCGATATCGCGTTACGGCGATATCGTATCGCGGCGACCGCCGTCGTTTCAAAACCAGGCAAATGTCCGCGGTCCCCTGAGCCTCCACATCCCGCCCCCTCATCCCCTCCAGCTGGGCAATCTGGAACGGTTCGGCCAATCAGAGGCTAGGACTTTGATGACGTCACAGAAAGTCGCCGTGGTAACCAGGGACCCCCTGCGCGGGAAATTTGCTGCCGCGTCAGAAGGAGACGCCGGCGGCTGCCCTTGGCTGTACTTAGGCTGCTGTTGTTGTTTGGTTGTTGTTTGTTGTTGTTTGTTTGGTTGTTGTTATTATTTTGGTTTAAGCCGGATTCTGTCAGCCGCTGCTTCTGTCCGCATTGCGGGGGCCACTTTTTGGTGAGCAGGGCTCGGCACGAACTTATACTCGCTTAGTTCGTATAGAAGACACTGGCTTGTACTGTACACGAACTGACTCACATAGACACACTCACATAGACACACTGACTCATAGACTAACACATAGACACACTGACTAACAAATAGACACACTCACTCATAGACTCACTCACACATAGACACACTGATTCATTGACTGACTAACACATAGACACACTGACTCATAGACTGAATGACACGTAGACACACTGACTCATAGATTGACTAACACATAGACACACTGACTAACAAATATACACACTCACTCATAGACTAACAAATAGACACACTCACTCATAGACTAACACATAGACACACTGACTCATAAACTAACACATACACACTGACTCATAGACTAACACAGAGACACATTGACTAACAAATAGACACACTCACTCATAGACTAACACATAGACACACTGACTCATAGACTAACACATATACACACTGACTCATAGACTAACACAGAGACACACTGACTAACAAATAGACACACTCACACATAGACTAACACATAGACACACTGACTCATAGACTAACACATATACACACCGACTCATAGACTGACTAACACATAGACACACTGACTCATAGACTGACTACCACATAGACACACTGACTCATAGACTAACACATATACACACTGACTCATAGACTGACTAACACATAGACACACTGACTCATAGTCTCACGTATTTTTCACTTTTTTCATCAAGGATTTCAAAGCATTGTACAGGATACAGCAGCAGCAGCAGACACTCAGCATAAAAATAATATTATACATACATTTTGAAATATAATTTACTAAATAAACGTTTAATAAGCTTAAGCGTATAAGCTTAAGCGTATAAATAGTTTTTAAGATGAATTTTTTAAATGTTCACAGACTCTAGAGAGAGATCCCTGATGTCTCGTGGAAGAGCGTTCCACAATAGCCTGGGGGGGGGGGGGGGGGTGGAGGCTACACGGGGACAAAGCTGGGTCACCCATAGACGGAAGCCTCGACTTAGGAATAGAGAGAACATCTGCATCCCCCATCAGGGGTGGGGAACGTCCGGCCCACGGGCCGTATAAGGCCCGCGAAATCATTTGGTCTGGCCCTGCCAAGGCAACCGCACGACTCGAAATTCAATAAATGTAGCTTTTTTCATAGCAACGTGAATTTTATTTTGTATGGCCCGTGAATTATGTTATGAATATCCAAATGGCCCTTGGCAGAATAAAGGTTCCCCACCCCTGCCCCAGATTTTAGTGACCTTAGAGTTGACACATTCACAGTGATAGAGTTGAAATATGACGTGATACTTGCAGGCAAATTTCCAGTCCGTATGCTCATCAAGGTTAGAACCAAGGCCGTAGCCATGGAGTCAACATTGGGGGGGACCATATCTTACAGGGGGTCTGGCGGTCCCCCCCCCCTAGAAAAAAATCTAAATTTGAAAACGAATTTCCTGCTTAAAATATAATAAATTAACTAACACCTCGGATGGACTTTTTATGTTTTTTACAATAATGTCTAATAGTATATTGTATTACATTGCTCTGTTTTTCTTTTTTTACCTTTTCTTGTTTTATTGTATGTAATGCAGATATTAGGGATTAATAAAGTACAACCATAACCACAATAATATAAACAGAAATCTATTTTATAGCAATATATTGGGGGGGGACATTTTGAGCATATTTGAATATTGGGGGGGGGGGGATATGTTCCCCCCCAATATATATTATAATTACGGCCTTGGTTAGAACCGACTTTGAAATCTGCGTGGATCTCGTCCCAGCGATCAAAATCGAGGGAGATCTCTACGCGGTGGCCAAACCCTTGAAGACATCCGCAGACCTGCACCTCTGGAGGCTGTCGTTCTCTGTCTTCGAGAAAAAAATCCTCAGCCGGCTTCCAAGCTCCTCCTGCCACCTGAAGGCCCTGAAGATCTTCAAGTACCTGCGGGAGCACGACACTCGACTGGAGGAGACGTCTCAGTTCGCGAGTGGACTCTGCTCGTACCACCTGAAGACGGCCTCCCTCCACCTGCTCGCGCGTCCAGCGCAGCCGCCGGACACGCCGGAGGGCCTGCACGAGCACCTGCACCAGCTGATGGACTTCCTCATTGAGTGCATGCAGGGAAAGGAACTCAACCACTTCTTTATGGGGAATCCATCGAGCCTGGCGAGGGACGCAAAAGCGCCCAGCAGCATTACCCACAGAGAGTTCCGCCTCAATCTCTTCAGTGGTAAATTCGTGAATGAGAGCACCCTGAGCCAGGCGAGGGAGAGACTCGTCAGGATTAAACACTCTCTCCCTGCCGTAATCCAACAGCATTATGACCCCGGTGCTAATAGCTGCAATATTTCATAAGAGCTCCTGCACCGCTTACAATTGAAGACGTTTGAGGCATTTTTCACGGCCAATATTTAAATTCACAATTGTCGGGTTAAGGCCGCGTGATAATTTCGCCCGAATGTTGCGTCGTCGAAAAGCCTCAACCACCCGACGAAGCCAAATTCAATTGTCCCGTTTGCGTACGAGCGTTTAAACTACGCGGTTGATGTAGAGGGCGATCATCACAAACGAAATGTGTGAGCGATTAGATACGAGGAGGCGTTTAGATTGGTACCGTGCCAAGGGGTCTCCAGGACAAGATCCATCAAGGTTAGAATTTTTTTGTAAAAATGCAGTCGCTCTCAAATGAAGCGTCACGTCTACCCGGTTGTACTGACATGCATCCAGTGTATGTAAATTCGCTTGTAACGCAACTTATAAACGAGTGCACACATTTTATATTTACGTTGTATTAAATGTACTCGGTGATCACCGTAGTTTCTCTTGAGTGGAGTATTTTTTTTGTCGCGACTTATTTTAAGAATTTTATCATAAAAAAACTTTCAATTATACGCGATACATATGCATATGCTTTGAAAAAAACCGGTTTGCAGCATGCTTAAGTGTATATTTATTTTATTACGTTTTGGGGCCTGACATTTTCTCCGTTGGATCACATCTCCAATTCGATCATAGATGTCAATGGGAAAACAGGGCTCTGTACACGGAATGTCACCTTGCGGAATGCTTTTTCAGGAACTTACGTGTTCCGTATATCGAGGGTAAGGTAAGACAAGGCGGGCGTTGTTGTACCATGGTTGATCGGAGAAAGTTTTTTTTTAATCAGCTTTAGCGAGTGACAGTGGTGGCGGTAGTGACACAGGGCAGCAGCAGCAGCACCAACTGTTGGAAAGTCATCATTGTGCAAATTCGTTGCTCGTACAACACACCGGTGTGTAGGAGAGCAAATGTGTGGGCTACCGTACCCCGCCATCACCGAATTGTCGGGGCCGTTGTCCCCCGATTCCTCCATAACGCTCGTACTGCTACCCCCCAGCTGTTCCATGGGGTCCGGGCTACCAGTCTCCACTCCCTCTCCCCCCTGCACCCCTGACTTTGCTGCTGACCGCGTCGGCATATTTCGATCAGCGGGGTGGTACGCTTTACGTTTGCAGTGCACCACGCTGTTCGGTGGCGGTGTGCCGACGTGCGATTCTCTCACGCCCACGTTCCACGCGCTCCGTCGGTGACAACACACCGCGACCCCCTGCCCAGCCCCGTACACTAATCGCCCGCGAGGGAGTTGGGGGTGGGGCAGGGCGTCTGCCGTGCGCGTGCCGCTGGTTGGAGGGGATCCCTGCGTTCTGACTTAAAGGGACGTTTAAACCGCCGCGCGAACACGCGCACGCCTGGCGCGTCGCTCGTTACCTCGCTATAGACACTCGCGGAGGCGAGCGATCGCACCACAGTCACGCCGGCGCGCGAGCGCTAAGCACTACTGTAAGCGATTGCACAGGTACGCGAGCGCGGGACACCACCCGAAAATAGTCGCGTGTGTACGCGGGCGCTAAACACTACTGTAAGCAATCGTGCAGATGCGTGGACACCCAGAACGCTCCACACTCTCAAAGACCACACGACGCAGTTTATCCCCCTACTAGAAATTTTATTTGCCGCGAGTAACCCGTTTAATCTACGCGTGATGGGGTGGGTCTGTGGACGCTAGTCTATCCCTCGGGGATCTTAGATTCAATTTATCCTGCCTGTCGCACCGCTCGCTACCCTGGATTAAAACACTCAAACTCACGTCTCTCTCTCGCGCTTATTTCCACTCTGCTGTGCTGGTCGCTGTAGAAGGACGAGGCGATGAGTTGTCTCTGTAGGGGGTCGAGCCTGGCGGCGCTGGAGTACGTCTCACGGACGTCTCGGACAGCTGACTTTGCTGCTCCCTGGACCGCGATGATCTTGAAGAAGAACTTCCCCAGTACTGCCTCCTTTTATCCTACCTATCACAAAGGCATTCCGTGGTGCCCCCATGTTCCGCACCCGTGTCCTTTGATGTGCGGATCCTAGCGCTGGTGATGTCACCGCAGTGGTTTCCCGCTACCAGTCCACTGACCCGTGCTTGTGTGTGTGTGGTTCCAACCGCGGTGGCCCGACGGCCCCTGCCGTGACCATGCAACTTTAATATTAGGTCACGGCGCTGCAGAACATGTCAGCTACGGGGGGAAGATCGCCCAATTTCCCGGCCGCAGGAAACCATGAAGTTCGATCCCATTAGGGACTTCTGGAAAAAAACCTATCGGCCGGGTGACCTCCCCTCCCGGCTCTACGTGGGGTGCATGTGCGTTCGTGCGGGGGGGGTGGGGGGGGGGCGGCGAGGGTGCGCAGCGTCGGCATCGGCATCCCCCGGTGGCGGCTTCACGGCGGTGGGCACGACCTCGGCAGAGCGGCTCTGCTGCGGCGGCCTCACGACTGTGAGTGGGTAAAACGCGGACGTCTGAGAAGGCACCGGCGCCGGGAGAGTGGCGGGAAATCCGAGGCATCGGTGACGGCGTCGCGGCGGTGGGTACGGCTCCGCTGGAGCAGCTCCACACAAAGCCACAACAGTTACAATGATTGTAGATTGATTGTAAATGTCGGTGTGCTGTACTAGTAACGAATTGGCACGTTCTGTTCACGTGACAAACCTTACCATTTGGCTGCGTCGGGTGGTGGCGGGTTTAACGACACATTTATATATTCACGCGATGTAACCCAAGAAAAAAAACTTGTTTCATGGAGTATGTTGCCTGTTTACCCAGCAAGCGAACTACCACGGTTTGTTTTTGCAGAAGGTAGGCGATGTTCCTGCTGCGTTTGATTCCCAACTGAGTCATTTGCAGGGAATTGGACAATCAACACCAGCCTACGTTGTGTGAGTTTTTAACCTATACCAGGAAGATGCAGAACCTGGAGGAAACTTGTGCATTCAAAGGGAGGGGTGAGAACACGCAGAGTCCACGCAGATAGGCACCCCGAATCGGGAACTGAACCCGGGTATATTATTATTTACTTGGTTATGAGTCAACATTCTTATCACTACGCCACCACGGGAGTGTACGGGCACAGCAGCATGGGGAGGAGTATTGAGGTGAAAGAAGTGGATTTGCAACACAAAGACAAAGATCCCCCGTGTAGACTGTAACAGACTGTCGGGGCAAGTGCTGTTAGCGAGCAGCTATGAAGGCCGGAACGGATGGGTGGGCAGCACCACGCCCGACCGCCTTTGTCTCCCCAGTAGCGATGTTTACACACCGCACCAGGTTACTAATTTGAGGCTGAGTCGACCTAGGGGAAGCCCCAGGACCGGTTCAGATAATGGTCACTGGTGTTGGTGGCCGTGAGCAGGAATCGAACTCGAGTTGCCGGGTTCAGTAGCGGAGCATAGCGTTACCCGCTACACACAGACACAGAGACACATAGATTTGCAACACACAGACACAAGGATTTGCAATACAGAAACACAAGGGGTTGCAACACACAGACACAGAGACACACGGAGTGACCTGCATTAGACTGTGCCTTGCAACGGGGTTATTCGTCACCCCCATCGCTGCGCACACAAACCCGTGGCTTTCTCCCATTGGGCACGTCGCGTTCTTCACGTCAGTGACCAATTACTGAGCAAATGTTGCTGACGGCCGTTGCCTGGAAGTGACCCCGTCAGGTGACGCAGGACGACTCAGTCGAGGTATAAAGCAGCAATGTCCCTGGGGGGGTCACAGCTTCATCGTGATTTGAGGTTCGGCAACCCAAGGTGAGTTGCTTCCCAGTCACCGACAGAATGTCCAGCAGTGGATGTCTCTTGCTGTGTGTTGCACACGAAATAAAGGACGTGGGCAGGTGCTCCAAATCGAGGGCAGACATTTATTTATGGTAATCTGTAAAATGCAACAGCACGTGTGCCACACACAGCAATTTTCAATCGAGTCGCCATTAACCACGTGACTGGTGTACAGGTAAGGTTACTCAATACGTTTCATTTAAACCCAATTCCACTACTGATAAACCATCTTTGTCTTTAATCATAACCTTTACACTATACTATTCGAATATTACTTCCTAAGCTGTATGTCTATACCATCCACTATCTTGGTATCTTGTACCCATTATCTGTACTGTATGTGTGCTGTACTTGTCACCATTGTACAACTTACTACTGTATATGTTATATTCTTAATAGCATTGCAAGTAGTCATACTCGGTGCATGGGCATAGTTATAGAATAAACAGTATTAGGGTTAGAGAATTACCAGTATTAACTACAGTACGTCACTCTTTACAGTGTACAGTGCTAAACTCCCTCCGATTGAACATATCACAAACTACCAGATCATAGCCAAGTTTAAAGAATGTAACGTTTCTATAACTATCAAAAACAACATTCGGGTCCTTTACCTGTACAATGCAACAGCACGTGTGTCACACACAGCAATTTTCAACCGAGTCGCCATTAACCATGTGACTGGTGTACAGGTCAGGTGACTTAACAACCCTGCCAGCCACCTACAGGCCCGACTCAGTATCGCATGCTGGTGTACACGTGCATTGATGTACTGCACAGCACATAAGGACCTTCACAAAACCACACTTTACTCCATTGCTGCACGAGGAAATAATTAAACGAGTTGTCCATTCCTAATGTGTCACAAAAGAGTGGTCCATTCCTAATGTTCCACTAATGTGCCACATTAAGAATGGCCTCAAATGACCACCGTTGTTGTGGTCACAACGGTGGTCGCTTGTGATGTGAATCGGTAGGGACAATTCTAGATGTGAAGCTTTCGTGACTGCAAGGATTCATACTCTTTGGTTTATTCGGTAAAATAAAATAAAACATCTAAATTTAAATCACGACGTTTCGGAGGCAACACAAGCAGGGACGTGGTCTCTCTGTTTACCAAGGTCCCAGTACCTGACACCATAACAATAATTGAAGACTTGGTCCAACATGGACTGAACTCTGATGTCCCTGCGCTGGTTAGGCACTGCCTCACCAACACTTACTTTACCTGGAATGGTACCTTTTACAAACAAAATGAGGGTACCCCTATGGGCTCCCCCTTGTCACCAGTGATAGCCAATGTTTTCATGGAGAAATTTGAATCAGACGCCATCCAGACATCCACCCTTCACCCTTCCTTATGTAAGAGATATGTGGATGACACTTTCGTCATTTGGCCACATGGCCTCCCAGCATTGAACCATTTCCTAGACCACGTTAATTCCAGACACCCATCCATCAAATTCACCATGGAAGTGGAGAAAGATGGCAAGCTGTCATTCTTGGATGTTCTGTTTGAGAGGAGGACTGATGGCTCTTTGGGACATTCTGTTTACAGGAAGTCCACCCACACAGACTCCTACTTGAAGCCTGATTCACACCACCACCCGACTCAAAATAACTCTCTCATCAAAACATTATACCATAGGTCTCAATAAATTTGTGACCAACACCACCTGGCCAGTGAATGAAAACATGTACATCTGGCCCTCAAGATGAATGGATACTCTGACCGTACCATCCGCCAAGCTGTTTCTCCCACCATACAGAAACAACCACCTGATACTCCGATCAAAATCATCACGTTACCATACATAGCAGGGGTTACTAAAAAGATTTCCAAAATTCTAAACATACACAAGATCCAGGTCCGGTTCAATACAGTACACAAAATCCGTGATCTGATCCCATCCGTAAAGGATGTCATTCCTGACTTACAGTACCCTGGTGTTTACAAATTGAGTTGTGCTTGCGGTGACTGCTATATCGGGGAGACGAAACGAAATATTTCTGACCGAATCCGTGAGCACAAATAAGATTTGAAACACGGCAGAACGAATTCTTCGACCGTGGCTGATCATTGTTTCAACACAGCGGGTTCTCATGACATTGTTTTCTCTGATACCAAAGTTCTCTGCAAACCTCCCGGTTATTACCAGAGATTTGTCCATGAAGCCATCCACATATACAAACATAGACAGGACTTCAACCGAGAGGATGGTTTCAAATTGATCAACCATTGGAAAGATGTTATAAATCAAGTCAAACGTTAGCTGCCTTATAATTGTACGGCCATTGCCATTGCTCGCAGTGGGTTGTATGTACTCGTGCATCTCTTCCCCCAAACCCCCTACAGCATCAACCATTGAAAATATGTTATAAACCAAGTCAAAGTTTGGCTGCCTTTATAATTGTACAGCCATTTCCATTACTTTCAATGGGTTGCGTGTACTTGTGCATCTCTCCCCCCGAACCCCCTGCAGCATAACAAAAGGTGGTTTAACTCATCCCTCCCCCCCACCCACGTCCCTTCTTGGCCCCCCCCCCCAACCTGTATATAATCCCGGCTGCCTCAGAGCTGTCCACTTGACACAGATATTCTGCTGTGACTGTTCCACCTGAAGACGGAAGCTTGTGTTGCCTCCGAAACATCGTGATTTAATTTAGATGTTTTATTTTATTTTACCTACGTGACTTTACCGAATAAACCAAAGAGTATGAATCCTTGCAGTCACGAAAGCTTCAAATCTAGAATTGTCCTTACCGATTCACATCACAAGCGACCACCGTTGTGACCACAACAACGGTGGTCATTTGAGGCCATTCCTAATGTGGCACATTAGTGGCACATTAGGAATGGACCACTGTTTTGTGACACATTAGGAATGGACAACTCGTTTAATTATTTCCTCGTGCAGCAATGGAGTAAAGTGTGGTTTTGTGAAGGTCCTTATGTGCTGTGCAGTACATCAATGCACGTGTGTACACCAGCATGCGATACTGAGTCGGGCCTGTAGGTGGCTGGCAGGGTTATTAAGTCACCTGACCTGTACACCAGTCACATGGTTAATGGCGACTCGGTTGAAAATTGCTGTGTGTGACATACGTGCTGTTGCATTGTACAGGTAAAGGACCCGAATGTTGTTTTTGATAGTTATAGAAACGTTACATTCTTTAAACTTGGCTATGATCTGGTAGTTTGTGATATGTTCAATCGGAGGGAGTTTAGCACTGTACACTGTAAAGAGTGACGTACTGTAGTTAATACTGGTAATTCTCTAACCCTAATACTGGTTATTCTATAACTATGCCCTTGCACCGAGTATGACTACTTGCAATGCTATTAAGAATATAACATATACAGTAGTAAGTTGTACAATGGTGACAAGTACAGCACAGATACAGTACAGATAATGGGTACAAGATAGCAATAAAGTGGATGGTATAGACATACAGCTTAGGAAGTAATATTCGAATAGTAAAGTGTAAAGGTTATGATTAAAGACAAAGATGGTTTATCAGTAGTGGAATTGGGTTTAAATGAAACGTATTGAATAACCCTACCTGTACACCAGTCACGTGGTTAATGGCGACTCGATTGAAAATTGCTGTGTGTGACACACGTGCTTTTGCATTTTACAGATTACCATAAATAAATGTGTCTGCCCTCGATTTGGAGCACCTGCCCACGTCCTTCATTTCGAGTGTACAACACACAGCAAGAGACATCCACTGCTGGACATTCTGTCGGTGACTGGGAAGCAACTCACCTTGGGTTGCCGAATCTCAAATCACGATGAAGCTGTGACCCCCCCAGGGACATCGCTGCTTTATACCCCAACTGAGTCGTCCTGCGTCACCTGACGGGGTCACTTCCAGGCAATGGCCGTCAGCAACATTTGCTCAGTAATTGGTCACTGACGTGAAGAACGCGACGCACCCAATGGGAGAAAGCCACGGGTTGTGTGTGCACAGCGATGGGGGTGACGAATAACCCCGTTGCAAGGCACAGTCTAATGCAGGTCACTCCGTGTCTCTGTGTCTGTGTGTTGCAACTCCGTGTGTCTCTGTGTCTGTGTGTTGCAACTCCGTGTGTCTCTGTGTCTGTGTGTTGCAACTCCGTGTGTGTCTGTGTTGCAACTCCTTGTGTCTGTGTGTTGCAACTCCGTGTGTCTCTGTGTCTGTGTGTTGCAACTCCTTGTGTCTCTGTGTCTGTGTGTTGCAACTCCGTGTGTGTCTGTGTTGCAACTCCTTGTGTCTGTGTGTTGCAACTCCGTGTGTCTCTGTGTCTGTGTGTTGCAACTCCGTGTGTCTCTGTGTCTGTGTGTTGCAACTCCGTGTGTCTCTGTGTTGCAACTCCTTGTTTGCCTGTGTGTCTGTGTTGCAACTCCTTGTGTGTCTGTGTTGCAACTCCGTGTGTTTCTGTGTCTGTGTGTTGCAACTCCGTGTCTCTTGTGTCTGTTGCAACTCCGTGTGTCTTTGTCTGTGTGTTGCAACTCCTTGCGTCTCTGTGTCTGTGTGTTGCAACTCCGTGTGTCTCTGTGTCTGTGTGTTGCAACTCCGTGTTGCAACTCCGTGTGTCTGTGTGTCTGTGTGTTGCAACCCCTTGTGTCTCTCTTCTTACAAATCCTTGCGTCTCTGTGCCTGTGTGTTGCAACTCCGTGTGTGTCTGTGTGTTGCAACTCCGTGTGTCTCTGTGTCTGTGTAGCGGGTAGCGCTATGCTGCGCTACTGAACCCGGCAACTCGAGTTCGATTCCTGCTCACGGCCACCAATACCAGTGACCATTATCTGAACCGGTCCTGGGGCTTCCCCTAGGTCGACTCAGCCTCAAATGAGTACCTGGTGCGGTGCGTAAACATCGCCACTGGGGAGACAAAGGTGGTCGGGCGTGGTGCTGGCCACCCATCCGTTCCGTCCTTCATAGCTGCTCGCTAACAGCACTTGCCCCGACAGTCTGTTACAGTCTACATGGGGGATCTTTGTCTTTGTGTTGCAAATCCACTTCTTTCACCTCAATACTCCTCCCCATGCTGCTGTGCCCGGACACTCCCGTGGTGGCGTAGTGATAAGAATGTCGACTCATAACCAAGTAAATAATATACCCGGGTTCAGTTCCCAACTCGGGGTGCATACTACATGAAACAAGTTATTTTTCTTGGGTTACATCGCGTAAATATATAAATGTGTCGTTAATCCCGCCACCACCCGACGCAGCCAAATTGTAAGGTTTGTCACGTGAGCAAAACGTGCCAAGTCGTTACTAGTACAGCACACCGACATTTACAATCAATCTACAATCATTGTAACTGTTGTGGCTTTGCTCTCCTACACACCGGTGTGCTGTACGAGCAACGAATTGGCACGATGATGACTTTCCAACAGTTGGTGCTGCTGCTGCTGCCCTGTGTCACTACCGCCACCACTGTCAATCGCTAAAGCTGATTAAAAAAAACTTTCTCCGATCAACCATGGGACAACAACGCCGCCTTGTCTTCCCTTATCCTCGATATACGGAACACGTAAGTTCCTGAAAAATCTGTCCGCAAGGCGACATTCCGTGTACAGAGCCCTGTTTTCCCATTGACTTCTATGATCGAATTGGAGATGTGATCCAACGGAGAAAATGTCAGGCCCCAAGACGTAATAAAATAACTACATTTAAGCATGCTGCAAACCGTTTTTTTTCAAAGCATATGCATATATATGTCACTTAAAGTTGAAAGTTCTTTTTATGATAAAATTCTTAAAATAAGTCGCGACAAAAAAAAGACTCTACTCAAGAGAAACTACGGTGATCACCGAGTAAATTTAATACAACGTATATATAGAATTTGTGCACTCGTTTATAAGTCGCATTACAAGCAAATTTACATACACTGGATGCATGTCAGTACAACCGGGTAGACGTGACGCTTCATTTGAGAGCGACTGCATTTTTACAAAAAAATTCTAACCTTGATGGATCTCGTCCTGGAGACCCCTTGGCACGGTACCAATCTAAACGTCTCCTCGTATCTAAAATAGCTCACACATTCCTTTTGTGATGATCACCCTCTACATCAACCTCGGCGAGTTTGGCCGCAGCGAGGACAATAATACTAATAGGCGCATAGTTTAAACGCTCGTACGCAAACGGGAAAATTGAATTTGGCTTCGTCGGGTGGTTGAGGCTTTTCGATGACGCAACAATCGGGCGAAATTATCACGCGGCCTTAACCCGACAATTGTGAATTTAAACATTGGCCGTGAAAAACGTCTCAAACGTGTTCAATTGTAAGCGGTGTAGGAGCTCTTATAAAATATTGCAGCTGTAAGCACCGGGGTCATAATGCTGTTGGATTATGGCAGGCAGAGAGCGTTTAATCCTGACGAGTCTCTCCCTCGCCTGGCTCAGGGTGCTCTCATTCACGAATTTACCACCGAAGAGATTGAGGCGGCACTCTCCGTGGGTAACGCTGCTGGGCACTTGCGCGTCCCTCGCCAGGCTCGATTGATTCCCCATAAAGAAGTGGTTGAGTTCCCTTCTCTGCATGCACTCAACGAGGAAGTCCATCAGCTGGTGGAGGCGCTCGTGCAGGCCCTCTTGGGTGTCCGGCGGCTGCGCTGGACGCGCGAGCAGGTGGAGGGAGGCCGTCTTCAGGTGGTACGAGCAGAGTCCACTCGCGAACTGAGACGTCTCCTCCAGCCGAGTGTCGTGCTCCCGCAGGTACTTGAGGATCTTCAGGGCCTTCAGGTGGCAGGAGGGGCTTGGAAGCCAGCTGAGGATGTTTTTCTCGAAGACGGAGAACGACAGCCTCCAGAGATCTGGGTCTGGGGATGTCTTCAAGGGTTTGGCCACCGCGTAGAGATCTCCCTCGATTTTGATCGCTGGGACGAGGTCCACGCAGATTTCAAAGTCGGTTCTAACCTTGATGACCATACGGACTGGAAATTTGCCAGCAAGTGTCACGTCATATTTCGACTCTATCACTGTCAATGCTCTCTTTGCTAATGATTGAAACCACTCGTATATTTGTGATGACATTAGGTATCCGTTGCTGGTGAAGCACACTTCAAATAAGCAACAGACGGTTCCCGATAGCCAACGTGCGGCTTGAGATTGAACGTGTCGCCGCTCAGCTTTTATTTTATGAAAGCCACATGGTGTACTGGGGTCTGAGATGGGGAAAAAGTTGAATTCAGGGTGAGAGAGAACGATCATGATATCCAGCTCCATATCCCCGTTGACTTTGAGTCCTTCGTACGAGCTGCCGGTCCGGACGATGTCATAGTGAATCGAAGGATCTATTTTTGGCCACCGAGTGCTTCTCATCCCCGCCAGGAGTGTACGGACCTCGCGTTCGGCAGTGTCGATGTGGGAAGCGAGCAGCCGAGGTGGAAACTCAACCTCTCTGCCGTAGAACCGATCGGGTTCAATGCTGGAGGCCATCGTTCACTGCAAACACAACAAAAGGTTACAATCACAAGAGTCTCTGACAATCCACTTCCGTCCCATCTCGCCTATCAGCTTCTGCGGACCCCGATCGACATCCCGACTACAGACCGCGGCTCGCGGTGTATCTGCCCCCGCGGGAACCTTGCGCGCGATACGAACCAACGCTGTTTTGGGGTCACCGGCCCCAAAATGCCGCTGGAACATCGCTACCAAGCTCACTTTCGGGATCCATCCCTGAGTCTGAGCCACGATCTGCATCAGATCCAACACGCTGTTTTAGATAGCCTACTTCACTGTGTGACCAATGTGGGGTCAATGTTTGATCGATGTTGGGTAGTGGAGGCTTTTTGACGACGCCAAACATTCGGTCGAAATTATCACGCGGCCTCAACACGACAATTATGAAATGGGAATTTTGGCCGTGAAAAAAACTCAAACATGTTCGATTGTAAGTGGTGTAGGAGCTCTTAAAAAAAATATTGCAGCTATAAGCACTGTGTGATCAATATAGGGGCAATATTTGATCAATGTGTAATAAATGTGGGATGCATGTGTGATCAATATAGGGGCAATATTTGATCACTGTTTGATAAATGCGTGATCAATGTGGCGCTACTATTTGAACAATGTGGGATCAATGTGTGATCAATGGGCACACGCGATGGACTGCACTCATAAGAGTGTGCAGTGTGCAATAACAAGCGTGCTTGCTGACTCTCACATTTTTTGTGAAGTTTACTTCGGCAAGCGTCCATGTTGCACAGCGTGTTTGTCCAGGATAGCCTCACCGAGTCTCAAGATATTCTCTCGCGAGGTACTCCGCGCCGAGCTGGCATGGGGTTAACAAGTGCAGTGGGTCGGTGGACCACCGAGTCCACCACTGTGGTCTCTGCTTCTTCAACGGAGGAGGAACAGCAAAACGACATGAACTCTCTCTCGTCGTGGTGTCGGCATCTATCTCCTGAACATGTTTCTGCTGCTGCTGCTGCTGCTGCCATCACACGCAAGAGTGGAATAGTTGATGGTCTCAGCCCAGTCACCACTGAATGCGCACAAACACGCAAATCCTTATCCACATATAGTTATGACGTCTCTGAAAATGTTAAATATTTTTTTCCGTCCCACCAACATTATCATCAAACTGGATATCTTTAAAATCATCCGAGCTGGAATGTATGCATAGCAATGACAAATACCCATCCCCCCGTATATCATTTAACAGACTGCTGGGGCAAGTGCTGTTAGCGAGTGGCATCTATGAAGGCCGACACGGTGACCCTGCGGCTCCAATACGGTCTCCTCCTCAGGGTAGACACGGCGCCTGCCTCAGGGTAGACAGGCCGCCATCTCCGCCCCATGTTCCAGTCACGCCTGCCTGCCCGCCTGCCCGCTTGCCCGCCTGCCTGCCTGCCTGCCCACCTGCCTGCCCGCCTGCCTGCCTGCCTGCCCGCCTGTCTGCCCGCTTGCCCGCCTGCCCGCCTGCCTGCCCGCCTGTCTGCCCGCTTGCCCGCCTGCCCGCCTGCCTGCCCGCTTGCCCTCCTGCCTGCTTGCCCGCCTGCCTGCCTGGCCGCCCGCCTGCCTGCCTGGCCGCCCGCCCACCTGCCTGCCCGCCTGCCTGCTTGCCTGCCCGCCCGCCTGCCCGCCTGCCCGCCCGCCTGCCCGCCTGCCTGCCCGCCTGCCTGCCCGCCGGACGGACAAGACAAGTCACCTCGACGGAACCGGCGCTCTGGCACGCGCGCGAGTGTCGCCGCAACTCCGAGGAGAAGGCGCTTCGACATCGACCCGAGCCGGGGGGGGGGGGGGGGGCTGCCTGGGGGCCGTGGGACGGCCACTCACCTCGGCGGCGGGGAGCAAATTTCATCGGCCGGGGAACGGAGGAGAGAGGTCTCGTGCGAGTTGGGGAAAAGATCCGTCCGCCCTGCCGAGGTCGCGAGCACTCAAAGACAAAAAAAAGAGCGTGGAACTCATAAAACGGTAGTGGTCTGGACTTCCCCCCCACTTAACTTCCTCCAGCTCCTGACCTCTCGCTGCACTGGTACTTGCAAGAAACTAAAGGCGATGCCATTGCGATAAACGCCGGGGCGGCTCTACCGAAAGTTCACACCGACATTGCTCACGGGTGTTCGCCAAACAGCCCAATGCTCCAAAATGTTACCATTTTCTCAATTGGGATCCACACGCAGCTGCAACATCACCCCCCCCCCCCTACTCTGAAACAGTGGCCCGATAGCTTTCCTGGGAAAACAAGCACACCAATAATAATTCTGTGATAGTGACAGGAATGCATCACAATGCATTGTCTAGGCTCTCCCAACTCTGCATGCTGAGTGGGGGTTAAATAAGTTAGTGAATGAGGAAATGGGTGAGTGGATGACTGGGTGAGTTGATGAATGAGGGAATGGGTGAGTAGTTGCCTGGGTGAGTTGGTGAGTGGGTGAGTTAGTGAATGAGGAAATGGGTGAGTGGATTACTGGGTGAGTTGGTGAGTGGGTGAGTTAGTGAATGAGGAACTGGGTGAGTGTATGACTGGGTGAGTGGGCGAGTTAGTGAATGATGAAATGGGCGAGTGGATGACTGGGTGAGTTAGTGAATGAGGAACTGGGTGAGTGTATGATTGGACGAGTTGGCGAGTGGGTGAGTTAGTGAATGAGGAACTGGGTGAGTGTATGACTGGGCGAGTTGGCGAGTTAGTGAATGATGAAATGGGCGAGTGGATGACTGGGTGAGTTAGTGAATGAGGAACTGGGTGAGTGTATGACTGGGCGAGTTGGCGAGTGGGTGAGTTAGTGAATGAGGAAATGAGTGAGTGGATGACTGGCTGAGTTCACGAGGGAAGGGTTATTGGATGGCTGCTGGCCAGGTTTGGTGTCTCCCAGCCGTTCCGACGAGTTGAAGCCGACACCACTCACCGGTCCGCTAGGCCACACCTCGGCCAACCATGGCGTGTGTCTGTGTGGTGTGACAACGAGAATTTGTAACGATTACTGGGGCGTTAAACAAAATAGCGAGACACATCTTTATTCCATTATCGTCACAAGCCGGGGTTCAACACAGCTCTGTACGCAGACGCACGCAACACCGGCGTATCAAGGGTACACTGCCCTTCTGTTATCAACGCCATTCCATTATCGCCACAAGCCGGGGTTGTGATAATCGCGCGTTGTTACTGTTGTTGTTGCTGCTGCTGCATAGAGGCAACATCGTCATTGTATCAGGGTCAGCAGCTCCCGTGATCGACGCTGTGCAGTTGAGTGGTCCCGGATCTCAGCTGCCACCCAAAGACGCCGATTCTGGAAAGGGTGGTGACCTTGGATTGGGGTGGGGGGGGGGGGGAGGTGATGGTCACTGCAGATCGTGGGGGGCCCTGGTGAGCGTCTCCATGCCGTTGGAGGGGGGGTCACTCCAGTTAATGGGGGGCCCTGGTGAGCGTCTCCACGCCGTCGTGGGGGAGTCACTCCAGCTCGTGGGGGGCCCTGGTGAGCGTCTCCATGCCGTCGTGGGGGGGGGGGGTCACTCCATTTCGTGGGGGGCCCTGGTGAGCGTCTCCATGCCGTCGTGGGGGGGGGGGGTCACTCCATTTCGTGGGGGGCCCTGGTGAGCGTCTCCACGCCACTGCTGGTGATGGCGACCGTGTGCTCCGCCTGCGCCGACCTGCGGGGTTCACGGTGGGGGGGGGGGGAGGGGGGTCGCCTAGTCAGCTGCCAAAGCAGTAAAAATGTCAACTCGTAACGCTGCGCCCTCGCCACCACCGCACGGTGTCGAGATTTAGCGAGATGGGGGGGGGGGGGGGGGGGGGTTAAGAGGAGCCGCAGACGAGCGGGAAGGCGGCAGCAGCAGCCACGCGACGGGCCGGCGCTGCCAACGATCGCCCAAGCTCTGCGGTCCTCCGTGCACGAGGATGGTTTTCGGCAACCGATGGAGTGTTCAGGCACGTGCGAGGAAACAGCCGGAGCGCACGGAGAAAGGCCGCGCGCGAGTGCGAGGGACAAACGCTATCCTCGTGCGGACGCAACGGGTGCGGAGTCCGCGTCGTTTTTATTTTCAAATCAAGTTTGCTGGACCACTTCGTCCAGGCAAGGGAGTTTCGCAAGCATCCGTGCGGTGATCCAACAACCCTCGCTGCTCCCTCCACAGCGCTGGATAAGAGGTCACTCGCGTAGGACCCACCGCCACCGCCCGGCTAGGCCTGTGGCGTGACACTGCCGCATCGGCTGCCCTTCTTCCGTAGTCGGTGGAGAGCGACGGTTATTGGAATCCATTTATTATTTTCTTTTTAAGTCAAGATTTAACAGGTCCCTGCAGGGTGGGCTGGTAGGAACATTGGAATCTTGCGCAATTTCATTTTTACACCCCAACAGCACGAGATTTCACTTCGTTAAAGTATTGAAAGGGGACGGACGGACGGACACATTAATCTATTGCAGGCTGGTACACTCAGTTTACATCTTCGTTCCTACCAGTATTATTATCTTATTATGGTTCTGCGTGGTTACCCAGGTAAGGCTCCCTCCCCAGTCTCAAGACTTTTTTTTAAGGAGTCCTGGCAAGTTTGTCGGAGTAGGGGCTGCTGCTGCTGCTGCTGCTGCGTGCGATCTCAAATGATGGGGAGCGGCGGTGTAGCGGCTACCGTGCTCCGCTACGAACCCCGCTCGTGGCCAGCACCAATGACGATTATCTGAACTGGTTCTGGGCCTCGCCTAGGTCGACTCAGCCTCAAATGAGTACCTGATGCGGTGTGTAAATATGGACACTGGGGAGACAAAGGGGGTCAGTCATAGTGCTGGCCACCCATCCCCTCGTGTGCTGTGCCGGCCTTCATAGGTGCTCGCTAACAGCACATTCCCCAACAGTCTGTTAAGGTTATACGGGGGATCTTTGTGTATGTATGCGTGTCACTCGGCCTCAATTGAGTAGCTGGTGCGATGAATCTAACATCGCCCACTGGGGATACAAAGGCGGCCGGGCGTGGTGTTGGCCACCCACACCCTCGTGTTGTCGTGCCGGCCTTCATAGGTGCTGTCTCGCTAACAGCACTTGCCCCTACAGTCTGTTAAGGCTACACGGGGGATCTTTGTCTTTGTGTGTGTTAAAGACTCCTGCGCTTGCCACCACGGACATCAAACACTGAGAAAAAACATCCTCCCGTGTGCCCCGACTGGACCGACTGGACAACCGAGGTGAGTATGGGGGGAGCGGTAGCGTCGGCATTCGTTTGCATCGTGCGTAACCAACCCGGAATAATCGGAGGTGCAGTACTACGGTAGCGCTAGCCGCTACCCTACCCCTCCGCACGGGCACAAAGACCAACAGCCGCATGCACACAGATGGGGAGACGAGGACAAAGATGCACACGATGCCATGTACCTGCTGTGATCCAGCGTGACCACGGTCCATCCGTCTGCGAGCGTTCTGACCTCCGGCGAGCCCTCCATCAGGATTGGTTCTGGAAGGAGTAAGGCAGGTCGTGTTTGCAAGGCCGAAATTATAATATATATTGGGGGGGGGGGGGGACACATCCCCCCCCCCCCCCAATATTCAAATATGCACCAAATGCCCCTCCCAATATATTGCTATGAAATAGATTTGGTCCCCCCCCCCCCCCAATGTTCACCTCCATGGCTACGGCCTTGGTTTTTTGTATCCCACTTGTTAACCAAGGGAAGCCGAATCTTAAGGCTTATTTTTCAGGAGGGTCCTGCCAGGTTTTTGCAGTGGGGGGGGGGGGGGGGGAGGAGGGTTGCTGCTGCTGCTGTGTGATCCCAATTGTGGGGGGAGGTGGTGCAGCGGTTAGCGCTACGCTGCGCTTCGAAGCCGGCAGAGGCCCGAGTTCGTCTCCCGCTCACGGCCAACACCGGTGATGATTATCCGAACCGGTAATGGGACTCCCCCTAGGTTGACTCCGATTCAAATGAGTACCTGGTGCAATGTGTAAACATCGCCACCGGGGAGACAAAGGCGGCCGGGGTGTGGTTACAGGCCGCCCACCCGCTCGTGTGCCACAGTGCCGGCCTTCATAGGTGCTACTCGCTAACTGCACTTGCCCCAACAGTCTGTCAAGGCTCTGCATAGGGGCATCTTTCTGAGTACTTGCAGGGAATGTTTCAGCATTGGGATGATTTCGATGTAAAGCTTTCGTGACTGCAATGATTCATCTTCTTTGGTTCTTTCGGTAAAGTCACGTAGAATGAGAATAAAATAATAAATTTATAAAATAAAATAACACAATAATATTCTCACGACGTTTCGGCCACAACACAAGCGGCCTTCATGTGTTGTGGCCGAAACGTCGTGAGAATATTATTGTGTTATTTTATTTTATAAATGTATTATTTTATTCTCATTCTACGTGACTTTACCGAAAGAACCAAAGAACATTGGGATGATGTTCGTTTTGGTCAATTCCGGTAACATTGTGTGTGGGGTTTTTTTTTTTGCTAGGGGAGGAAGCCAGCGAACACAGAGGAACCCCACGCAGAACAGGAGGAGATCATACTCTTTGGGTCTTAAGGTAATCGTGTTGCCACGGCTGATGCGGGACTCATGCAGGTGAGTGGCTGCCACTCGTCCCCCATCCATCCAAGCCATCCATTCATCATCATGTGCTCTCATCAATGTTGCACGGTTGGCTACGTATGGCGCGAAAGAAATTCAACTAACGTAATTCTCTGGTGAAGTGCATCGGTCGAGGCGCTTTAGAAATCATGTTAAGATGAGATTGAGAGCACAGGAAGATGACATTGAGAGCACAGGAAGATGAGATTGGAAGTACAGAAAGATGAGATTGAGAGCACAGGAAGATGAGCTTGAGAGCACAGGAAGATGACATTGAGAGCACAGGAAGATGAGATTGAGAGCACAGGAAGATGAGATTGGGAGCACAGGAAGATGAGACTGAGAGCACAGGAAGATGACATTGAGAGCACAGGAAGATGACATTTGAGAGCACAGGAAGATGAGATTGGGAGCACAGGAAGATGAGACTGAGAGCACAGGAAGATGACATTGAGAGCACAGGAAGATGAGATTTGGAGCACAGGAAGATGACATTGAGAGCCGACGGCATTGCGTCCCACTACAAGTCGCCCACCCCCCCCCACCACCACACCGCGTCTCCATGGTCCACCCACCGATGGTGAAGACCATCCCCTCCTCCATCAGCAGGTCGACGTCGTTCTCTGCAGAGAGGCGAGAGGGGACAGCGAGGCGTCACAACGCGTCGTTCGGCCGCCCTGCGTTGGGTGGCCTGTGCAGGAGCGCCGCACACACGCGATCGAAGTGCAACGCATTCGCCGGCAACACTGCACTGTTTGTCTTTTGCTTGTTTTTGTGTGTGTGTGTGCGAATAAACAATACAATACGTACAAAGATGAGGAGGAGAGAGACGGCGGGGGGGGTCACGTTGATAATGATGTTAATGATGATGTTAGTGATGATGTTCATGATGATGATGTTAATGATGATCCATAATACAGGGGTTTTTTTGGGTTAGATCTAAATGTTGTGTCGTTAAACCCGACACCACCCGACACAGCCAACTAGTAAGGGGTTGTCACGTAAACAGAACGTGGCCAATTCGTCACTAGTACAGCACTAGTGTGTAGTGTATAGTAGTGTATAGTGTAGTATACTAGTACAGCAGTAGTGTGTAGTGTATAGTGTAGTATACTAGTACAGCACTAGTGTATAGTGTAGTGTAGTATACTAGTACAGCACTAGTGTGTAGTGTATAGTGTAGTATACTAGTACAGCACTAGTGTGTAGTGTATAGTGTAGTGTATAGTGTAGTATACTAGTACAGCACTAGTGTGTAGTGTAGTATACTAGTACAGCACTAGTGTGTAGTGTATAGTGTAGTGTATAGTGTAGTATACTAGTACAGCACTCCGGTGTGTAGTGTATAGTGTAGTATACTAGTACAGCACTAGTGTGTAGTGTAGTGTATAGTGTAGTATACTAGTACAGCACTTGTGTGTAGTGTATAGTGTAGTATACTAGTACAGCACTAGTGTGTAGTGTAGTTTATAGTGTAGTATACTAGTACAGCACTAGTGTGTAGTGTATAGTGTAGTATACTAGTACAGCACTCCGGTGTGTTGGAGAGCCAAGCCACAACATTTACAATCTGAGTACGACGTTTCGCCAGTAGTTACAACTAGCAGGCGACAGCCAGATTTTAATAAGGAAATGGCATGTTTTGTTTACATGACAAACCTGAATAATTGGCTGTGTCGGGTGGGTTTAACGACACATTTAGATATTTCCACGATCTAACCCGCGCAAAAAACCTATATTACGGATGACATTGGTCGCGAAAGCCTACGTGTTAAGATGATGATGATTATGTTAATGACGACGACGACGACGACCAAGTTGATGGAGGTGCCGCCGCGGCACTCACCGTGGTGCCAGACCTCGGGGTGGCCGTGGAAGTAAGAGCCGATGCCGTGTCCCACGAAGTAGGGACACACGGAGAAGCCGCCGTCACGGGCAAGCCGGCTGCAGGGCAGGTGAGCGCAGGTGAGCAGAGGATGAACATAGGCTGTAGGACGAGGCTCACAGCCGTGTTCTGAAGTCATGGCTTGCCTCTGGCTTGGCTCTAGACGACCGCTGCCTTGTGCCCCGGGCTGAGGCCGTGCCTAAAGATCACCCGCAGCTGAGCTGCCGCTTGCGTTTAGTTTGCTGTTGGCTGTAGCAGAGGGGCGAGGGATTCCTAACCACGGCGCTTGTGCCAGGCTCGGTGGCTTTCGGGGCCGTCAATGTGAAGTGTGGAAGGCCCTCGCTGGCAGGAGGTCACGGGACAGGCTAAAGTGAGCGTGCAGGCTTTAGCGACCGATGTTATGACTCGGAATCGATTTCTTTTTCGGGTCGGATCACCGCGTAAGCGCAATACCTCGCCGATCTCGTCAAGGAGCATAAACCTTCACGTAAATTTCGGACATCCTCGCATCAGCGGCTTTTGGCTAGCCATCGAGCAAAGACGGTCACTTTATCGCCCGCATTCAGATACGCTTCTGTGGCCGTCTGGAACGCTCTTCCGATGTTAGAAAGCAACTGGAGCTGTGCACTTTTAAATCTGGATTGAAAACTAATTTCTTTAGAACTGCTTTTTTCCGTTCAGTTTGCTGTACTTTCCCCGCACCTCCGATTAGCACGGTTGGCTACATACGGTGCGAACGAAGTTCAACACACACAGACACACATTACGCAGTCACCCGAGCCGAACGTCAATGATGAATCGCGGCTCCGTCTCACTGCCGCTCTCACACCTGATGGTGTTGCCGATGACGCACAGAGGCTGGCCCGGGCCGCAGGCGGCGATGGCGGCGTCACGGCAACGCCGCGCCGCCTCCACGAGACGCCGGCCGGCCGCGTCCACATCGCCCACCAGCACGGTCTCGGACGTGTCGCCGTGGAAACCCTCGTGGTAGACCTGCTCGCTCGCGCGCACGACCCTGGCTCGGTGAGACACCGAACGCCCTTAACCCGGCTGCTGGGAATTTCCACGCGGCGATAAGCCGCTTCGTTGAGCTATTATCATTTGCGGTCAGGTCGCTTCTGGTAACAACAGAGCTACACGGCTCAGTTGTGCATAGTTTAGTTTTAATAGCAAACGAACACGGAGAACTTGCTGATCCGCCCATACTGGACGTCTATGAAAAAGAGCTTCATTGCTCATCGGATTCCCCCTCCTGTGGACTTCACCAGGTGAAGCTCAGCGGGCCTTTCAGGGTAAAAAAATAAAAATAGTAACCGGGCCGGTTTGCTTGCGTTTAACCCAACGCTGCTGAGATTATGCGCTCGCCAAAAGGCCATGCGGCTGATGAGATGTGTTTAAAAAAAATTGTGGAGGGACTGATATTTCAAGGAAGTTATTTGGTTACGCGTAGCTTATATCACTTTGTCCACCAGAGGGCGCCATGTATTGCAGTAATTGCGTGTGCCCACCAGAGGACATCGCATAGCCAAGTGCAGGATTTAAAAAAAACTGCAGCTGTTTTTTTGTTCCACGGCTGGGGGTGAGTTCTAAAGGAACAGATGGGCGCTTAACCCACTGTTTGTTGGGAGCATGGGGACACGATCATGTCACCATCGTTTTTGTTCCACGGCTGGGGGTGAGTTCTAAAGGAACAGATGGGCGCTTAACCCACTGTTTGTTGGGAGCATGGGGACACGATCATGTCACCATCGTTCCGATTTCGCTCGTTTACCCAGGAAAGTCTCGCCGAGTCTCAGGGATTCGTTTTACAGGAGGGTTCTCCTGCCGAGGGCCACGGCGGTGGTGAGATGTGAACTACCTCGCCTGGTATACAGGAGGTCGTGGGTTCGATCCCGACCCTCTCCCCGTGGTCGTGTAGATTTTTCTCAGGGTCCTCCGGTTTATCCCTCCACGTTTACAATCATGCGTTTAGAGCAGTGGTTCTAAACCTTTGACTGCAGCCTTGCACCCCTTTGGTCCTCAATCGTGAACAATTGTATAATGTTAACAAATACACAGGTTTGATAAAACAAAGTAGTTGTACTTACATGCCCATGCTTAATTTGTGTTTTCGATGATTTACCTTCTCAGAAATATCTGGCCATGTCTCGCACTCCCAGAAGGGGCATCTCGCACCCCCAGGTTAAGAACCACTGGTTTAGAGTATTTGGCTGCTATGAGTTTCCACGTGATGACGATAAGCCATTTCGTTGAGCTATCATTTGCGATGGCCAGGTCGCTTCTGAAAAAGAGCTATGTAGCTCAGTGGTAGGCACCTACCTGGTAAAATAAATAAAAAATTAGGAGCAGTAGGGGGGGGGAGCAATGTTGCTGCTGCTGATGCTTCTGTGATTCCGATTGAGTAGTTTGCAGGTGATCTTGCAGCATTTGGGATCTGTGGCCAGTACCGATTACATTCTAACGTGGGGTTGTTGTTGTGTTTTTATTGTCCACCAAATTTCAGATAGACGCTGAAGAGACACGTTATCGGAGATTTCCTTTTCACGTTTATGTGCAATTGATTGCTCTGCTTTTTTTGCAGGCTTTAAGTTGGCACACACACATGTGTTTCTATTTGACTATCGCACCAAGCTCGGTGCCATTTTTACCCTCGACTTTTTTTGTACGTGATGCATTCTACTCGCCTAGTCATACAGCAGAACTCAACGACGGCGATTGGCGGCACGTAACTGGTCGTTAAGTGATTTAGTCGTTAAGCGAGTATAGGAGATAAAGTGAGGGAAAAAAGTATTTGATCCCCTGCTGATTTTGTACGTTTGCCCACTGACAAAAAAAGATCAGTCTATAATTTTAATGGTAGGTGTATTTGAACAGTGAGAGACAGAATAACAACAACAACAAAATCCAGAAAAACGCATGTCAAAAATGTTATAAGTTGATTTGCATTTTAATGAGGGAAATACGTATTTGACCCCTCTGCAAAACATGACTTAGTACTTGGTGGAAAAACCCTTGTTGGCAATCACAGAGGTTAGACGTTTCTTGTAGTTGGCCACCAGGTTTGCACACATCTCAGGGGGGATTTTGTCCCACTCCTCTTTGCAGATCTTCTCTAAGTCATTAAGGTTTTGAGGCTGATGTTTGGCAACTCGAACCTTCAGCTCCCTCCACAGATTTTCTATGGGATTAAGGTCTGGAGACTGGCTAGGCCACTCCAGGACCTTAATGTGCTTCTTCTTGAGCCACTCCTTTGTTGCCTTGGCCGTGTGTTTTGGGTCATTATCATGCTGGAATACCCATCCACGACCCATTTTCAATGCCCTGGCTGAGGGAAGGAGGTTCTCACCCAAGATTTGACGGTACATGGCCCCGTCCATCGTCCCTTTGATGCGGTGAAGTTGTCCTGTCCCCTTAGCAGAAAAACACCCCCAAAGCATAATGTTCCCACCTCCATGTTTGACGGTGGGAATGGTGTTCTTGGGGTCATAGGCAGTATTCCTCCTCCTCCAAACACGGCGAGTTGAGTTGATGCCAAAGAGCTCCATTTTGGTCTCATCTGACCACAACACTTTAACCCAGGTGTCCTCTGAATCATTCAGATGTTCATTGGCAAACTTCAGACGGGCATGTATATGTGCTTTTTTGAGCAGGGGGACCTTGCGGGCGCTGCAAGATTTCAGTCCTTCATGGCGTAGTGTGTTACCAATTGTTTTCTTGGTGACTATGGTCCCAGCTGCCTTGAGATCATTGACAAGATCCTCCCGTGTAGCTCTGGGCTGATTCCTCACCGTTCTCATGATCATTGCAACTCCACGAGGTGAGATCTTGCATGGAGCCCCAGGCCGAGGGATTGTGAATAATCGCACCAACTGTTGTCACCTTCTCACCGAGCTGCTTGGTAATGGTCTTGTAGCCCATTCCAGCCTTGTGTAGGTCTACAATCTTGTCCCTGACATCCTTGGAGAGCTCTTTGGTTTTGGCCATGGTGGAGAGTTTGGAATCTGATTGATTGATTGATTGCTTCTGTGGACAGGTGTCTTTTATACAGGTAACAAGCTGAGATTAGGAGCACTCCCTTTAAGAGTGTGCTCCTAATCTCAGCTCGTTACCTGTATAAAAGACACCTGGGAGCCAGAAATATTTCTGATTGAGAGGGGGTCAAATATTTATTTCCCTCATTAAAATGCAAATCTATTTATAACATTTTTGACATGCGTTTTTCTGGATTCGTTTGTTGTTATTCTGTCTCTCACTGCGTCAAATAAACCTACCATTAAAATTATAGACTGATTATTTCTTTGTCAGTGGGCAAACGTACAAAATCAGCAGGGGATCAAATACTTGTTTCCCTCACTGTACACGTTAGAGGCTTAATTCGTTCTGAAGGCATCGAAAGTTACCCTCTTTCACCCAAAAAACGTACTTAATATTTTAACAATGGGTATTAATACTTAAAGATACTAACACCATTAGAAACATATAATATTAAAAGAAACATGGTTAATCAATGCATTAATTCATATTTACCGTACCTACAACAGCCCGTCGTTCACAGGGGAATGGTCGGTAAGTGGACACATTGGGCTCTACGGAGGCACTACACTGCACTAATACACTACACTATACACTAGACTACTACACACTACACATTGGGCTCTATCGAGGCCCGTCGTTAAGCGATTAGTCGTTAACTGGGGTGGTCGTTAAGAGGGGTTCCACTGTATATGTTTTCATGCTGCTGGTACTAGATTAACGTACGACCGTGCCATTCTTTACCTCACACTATTGATTTTAAAGTTGTGTTATTACGTTCTTTGCTGTAACCAGGCTCCTGTTGTGTGACCAGGTCCCCATCGACAATGTGCATTCATTCGCCAATGCGTGTTTTACGGGTGCCAAAAATAAACGAGCTCAATAATAATAACAACAACAGAAAAGGCGTCCTACCGTGACGTCAACGTTGACGATGTCTCCATTCTGCAGCGGTCGGCTGCAAAGGGGAGAAACGCGCGCCGGTTTAAACGCCGATTCGCGGCACTGCAGGCTGCACGTGTGGTAGGACACGCAAACTCCACAGACGGAGGCACGGATTCTATAGCTGGCGATAAGTTCACTCGACGCGTTTACATTATTTTTGCTTTGCGGATTTTGCTAACTGCTTTCCCTCCCCCCCCCGTTTCCCCCCTTAATAATGATAATTTAATTTCACCTAACATCATTCGTGCAATTGCATCCCACAACGCTGCACATCAATTAGCCAGTCCCTTACGCAGATGGTACCAAAAATAGAACCCCTCTACTTAACGCATCAAAAACAAAAAAAATGAATGTAAAAATAACGAGAGAGAGAAAAAAAATGCACGTAACGAGAAAATGTTTCCCTTCAATGTGACTTTACCGAAAGAGCTAAGAATATGAATTACTGCAGTCACGAAAGCTTTAAATCAGAAATGAAATTAATAAACCCGTTCAGTCTCCAGCGCTCCAGAACACAATCCCAACATTTTGCCGGATTTAGCAGAACCTTCACAGGAAGGGAGGGTGGAGTGGCCAAAAAGTCATGAGCCAGTTGGACTATATTTCCCTTCTCTCCCCGTGCCACCCCCCCTCACTCACTCACCTTTCCCTCCCTTCCCCACCCCCATTTTTATCCCCTTATTTTTGTCATCCTTCCCCTATCATTCCCACCCAAAATGAATGTTCGTGCCCTCGCTCGCCGTCCCCCCACCTGACCGGGGGCAGTAAGCCCAACTTCTCTCCCACTATACTCTGCTGATGACGGACGCTTGTGTTGCGTCATCACCTGATGACGGACGCTTGTGTTGGCGCCGAAAGGTCGTGATTTCTTTTATTTTATACCTACGTGGACTTTACCGAAAGAACCAAAGAGTATGGATTCCTGCAGTCACGAAAGCTTCAAATCAAGATTCTCTCCCCCTGCTTCCTTAAACGCCGGAGGAGCACTGAGCTTGGGTTTTTGTCCGCCGAGTTTTCGGTGCGCACACCCCACCCTCCATCCTCCTCCTCTGCCCCCCCCCCCCCCCCCCCCCCCCCGCCGGTGACACCCGCGCCGGCCCTCGCCTGTCGGGGATGCCGTGGCACGCCACGTTGTTGACGGAGGTGCACACCGACTTGGGGAAGCCGCGGTAGCCGAGCGGCGACGGGTAGGCGCCGTGCGCCACCGCCTCGCGGTGCGCCACGCCGTCAATCTCCTCCGTCGTCGTGCCCACCTGCACCGCCCGCCGGCACCACGGTGGCGAGGATGTTAACTCCCTCGCCTGGTATACAGGAGCTCGTATGGTTTTGACCCCGACCCCGACCCCGACGCCTGCTGTATAGTTGGAGTTGGAGTCTCTCATCATCATCACAGTGGCGAGGAGATGGTAACTATCTCGCCTGGTATACAGGAGGTCGTGGGTTTTGATCCCGACCCCGACGCCTGCTGTTGTATAGTTGGAGCTTGAGTCTCTCATCATCATCACGGTGGCTAGGAGATGGTAACTACCTCGCCTGGTATACAGAAGGTCGTGGGGTCGATCCTGACCCTGACGCCTGCTGTATATTTGGAGTTTGAGTCTCTCATCATCATCACGGTGGATAGGAAATGTTAACTACCTCGCCTGGTGTACTAGAGGTCGTGGGTTTTGACCCCGACCCTGACGCCTGTGGTATATTTGGAGTTTGCGGTGTCTCTCTCTTTCCCCATGGTAGTCGCGTGGATTTTTCTCCGGGTCTTCCGGTTTTTCCCTCCACATTTAGAATCGACATCACGCGTTTAGAGTATTTGGCTGCTATACATTTCCATATGATGATAAACCACTTAATTTGCGGACAGGTTCGCTTATGAAGAATAGCTACATAGCTCAGTAGGCCTTCACTCGTCAAACTAATTTCTCTCGAACTGCTTTTTGTGTTTAGTTTGTTGTCCTTCCCCCGTACCTCCTTTTTTAGTGGACGTGGTGATAGTAGTTGTTGTTTTGTTTGTTGCAGTAGTTGTCAACTGAAGATGTTACTGTAGTTATTAAGTTTGTAGTGTCTGTGGTTGTTGTTACTATTGTTGTGTATGCAGTGGTAGTTGTTACTGTTGTTTGTAGTCGTGGTTGTTGTTTATCGTAATAGCTGAGGTTGTTATTGTTGCGGTTGTTGTGTTTGTGGTTATTGCTGTTTTTTGTAGGACTAGTTGTGTTTATTGTTTGTATGTTGAACTCGTCGCACCGTACGTAGCCAACCGTGCTAATCGGGGGTATTCGCTGCAGTCATAGCTGCTGCTGTTTTTGCTGTGGATGGAGGCCGTCACCTGAATGCGCGAGGCCGCGTGCAGGAGGATGTGGCGCGCCAGCTGGCACGCGGCCCGCACGCCCGCCAGCTCCTCCGGGCCCTTGAGCTCGATGTAGTCGCCCCACTCCGGCACAGCCCCCGACAGCACGTAGTCCGGCCGCTCGATGTGCTGCGCGCACACGCATCACGCGGCCGAGACCGAGGGTCTGCAGTTCGCTGTCCTTATCCGTGCCTCCGATTAGCGGAGTTGGCTATGTATGGTGTGGAAGAAGTTTAACATGCATACGTCGCCGTCATTATTCCGATAGTTACGTCAATTTGTGACGCGACGAGGAACCACAGACAATTCTAGATTTAAAGCTTTCGTGACTGCTAGGATCCATACTCTTTGGTTCTATTTTTTTGTTATTTTATTTTCACCTACGTGACTTTACCCAATAGAACCAAAGAGTATGAACCACAGACGAGCAGGAAGGCGGCAGCAGCAGCAACCACGCGGTGAGCTGGCGCCAACAATTGCCACCCCCGCCCCAAGCTCTGCGGTCCTATACGTATTAAGATGTTCAAACTTGATTTGGAGCTTTTGTGACTGCAGGAATTACTCTTTGGTTCTTTTTGGTAAAGTCACGTAGAAAGAAAAAAAAAGTTAAATATTTGTACCTGATGATGATTGCTTGTGTTGCAATCGAAACGTCGTATGCTAAGGTGTTATCGGTCAGGTGAATGTTCACACGATGTGGGTGGGGACCGGAGCACCCGGAGAACACCCGCATGTGCGGGTGGCGCAGCACAGCTACGCGCGCTCTACCTCGGGCACATCGTGGGCTGGTCCCACCAGGGCCGGCTCCACCACCGCGTAGGCCCTCCTCCTCCACAGGCCCCCGCCAAACACCGACCGGAGCTGCGTGCGCGGAGGCAGACGCAGGGGGGGCCGGCGCCCCCCACGGAGCGCCGACACGGCCGCTCGGGACGCGTTGAGTGCCATCATCGCAGCTGCCCCGACACACAGAAGGGAGAAAGAGGGGAGAAAGAGGGGAGAGGTAAGACAACTGTTGTCAGCACTGCGCTCGCTCACCCAAGGCATCTTTTTCAGGAGGGCCCTGCCAGGGTGTTTTGTCGGGAATCGAACCCCACGTGCTCCTTGCTGTGAAGCGTCACGTGGGTACCACGGGGTCAACCACCACCCTGCTACCCCAGTATCACTCACCAGCATCACTCACAAGCATCACTCACCAGCACCAGTCACAAACACCACTCACCAACATCACTCACAAAGACGTCTCACCAGAAAACAATGCAACACGCTGCAAATCACACCACGCAGCACACCGCGCCGTCCAGCACACCATGCAGAACGCTACACCGTGCAACACAACACACCCAAAGCAGACTACACCACACAGCAGGCGATTTATCACGCAGCCCTACACGCACACGTTCTTCGGGACTTTCGGTAAAATCACGTCGATAGTATTTCGATTTAAAGCTTTTGTGACTGCAAGGATTCATCTTCTTTGGTTCTTTCGGTAAAGTCACGTAGAATGAGAATAAAATAATAAATTGATAAAATAAAATAACACAATGAGAATATTATTGTGTTATTTTATTTTATCAATTTATTATTTTATTCTCATATAATAACATAAATAACACAATGAGAATATTATTGTGTTATTTTATTTTATCAATTTATTATTTTATTCTCATTCTACGTGACTTTACCGAAAGAACCAAAGAAGATCACGTCGATAGGTTCAGAGAAAATAACAAACACGCGCACACGTTCTACACACGGGCTCACGCACACCCCCAAGTGCCAGGCTAGGTGCACGTGGAGACCACGACGTGAAGCGTGCTGGGTGTTTACGGTTCGACTGTCTTGAGATGACTGACAGTGGCGTCTCGTGACATCGCCACAAGGTGGGGCTGTTGCGAGTGACGCTCTGAAAATGTGGCGTTCTAATGAAGAAAAACCTCGTCATGTTATTATTGGCCTTCCCGTGAAAGTGGCACAACGGGTAGGCATTTGCAAGCAATACAACAAAAACAACAAAACGCTCAAATGCTGTCCCCATGACCCTCAAAAGTCCACGTCACACAACCCCGTTCATCCGTTCAAAGTGAATATTTAGGAGTGGCTCCAAAGTGTTCCTTGCTATCATCTTCGGTTCTTTCGGTAAAGTCACCACGTAGAATGAGAATAAAATAATACATTGATAAAATAAAATAACGCAATAAAATTCTCACGGCGTTTCGGCCCACAACACAAGCGGCCTTCATCAGGTGAAGGGACGAGACTTATTATTTTATTCTCATTCTACGTGACTTTACCGAAAGAACCAAAGAAGATGAATCCTTGCAGTCACGAAAGCTTTAAATCGAAGTGTTCCTTGCTAATTCTTCGTTTGCTTGCACGTGCTGCACGTGCAGCCATTGCCCCTGCCGCTGCATCCCCCTGTAAGACCGTGAGCTGCTGCGTTTGCACGGTGCGGCCCAGCGTTGTGACTTCGTCTCACGACTGCCACGGGCGACTTTTTTCACCGCCCTGAATGGGTCTCGTAACGGCGTGGCCGCGACAATGCCGAGGAGCTCATCGCGGCGGGCGGAGGGGACATCTCTCTCACTGGGAGGACGCCTTCTTCACGACCGCCCCGAGACCTCCCCACAAATCAAGACTTGCGGTGCTGCGGCCGTTTCTAATACGAACTTAAAATGTTATCTTCGTTAGGCAATTCACGTCGAAAGAATCCTCATTATACCTACTTAAAACAACAAAAACTATTGATAGAAAAGTATTATTTTTTTAACGAGAAATAATCATCTCTCATCTCCAGCTGCTTTAGTCAGATGGCGCCCCCCTACGACCCCTTGTGAACGAACTGCGCCTGCTGACAGATGATGGTGCATCGCCGCCTGTGCATCACCGCTTGTGCATCACCGCCTGCGCCAACTCACGCTACACTCAACACAGGCCAACAACACTCGCACACCACACACAAAGACCCCCCCCCCCGCCCGCCCCCCTTGACAGACTTTTTGGGGTAAGCGCTGTGAGCGAGTGGCAGCGCCTGTGAAGGCCGGGACTGCGGCAGACAATGGGGGTGCGTAGTCAGCAACCACGCCCGGCCGCCTTTATCTCCCCCAGGGGCGATGTTTACTACACACCGCGCCGGGTACTCATTTGAGGCTGAGTCGACCTAGGGGAGGCCCAGGACCGGTGCTGATGATCGTCACCGGTTTTGGTGGCCACGAGCGGGAGTCGAACTCGGGTGGCCGGGTTTGCGGCGCAGTGCGCTGACCGCTACACTCGAACAACCCAGCCACACACACACACACCCTACTACAACAACAACCGCCATTCGCCACTAAGTGGCGGTGACGTCACCACGACGCTTGTGCCAGGCTATGTGCACCCTGAGGCCACGTGAAGTGTCGAACGCCCGCTGGCAGGAGGTCACGGGGCAGACCCAGGTGCCACGGGTCGACTGACTGAGATGACTGGCTGATGCACCACCTGTGCCCCCTACTGTGCCAACCTGCTGTGCTTTAGCCACCCGGCGCTCCGCTCGCTGTTGTGAGCGTCGCTCCTCCGCCCTCCGTTGTTGTTGGAGGGCGACTGCCTCCAACTGCCCAGTAGCATCCTTCACGAGCCTCCTCCACAGAGGCCGATCTTGACACCGCTGGTACCAGTCATCGGCAAGTCCACTCAGCTCCACGTCCTCCTGTACCACATCACTCCATCTCTTCTCTAGCCCGTGCCGCGCCCGCTTAGCCCCCTCAATCCGGCCAAACAAAAGCTGTTTCGGCATGCGGTGGCTGGGCATGCGGGCTACATGACCCAGCCATCGCAGCCTTGCCTGCCGGAGGAGCTCACCGATGGGACCCTGCCCAGATCTTTCAAGGATTTGTGAGCTCCTCACACAATCCAGTCTGGTTAAACCCAGGATGGATCGTAGGCAGGCCAGCCTAAATGTTTCTAACCGGCGAAGATGTTCCATTAGGGGGGTCCACGTTTCGCAAGCGTAGAGAAGGGAGGGAATGACCGTGGCCGAGAAGACCTGAAGCTTAGTGCGGAGCGACAGACCAGGTAGCTTCCACACAGCGTTACGCAACCGATGAAAAGATATTGCCGCTCGACTGATTCGGAGTGAGACCTCTGCTGTTAAACTGGAGCCAGTCATAAGCACACTGCCCAGGTATGGGAAACTCTCCACTCTCTCCACAACTGTCCCATCACCGATTGGGAGTTGTGGGGGTGGAGTGTCGGATGGTACAAAATACCCAGGCAGGTGCTTAGTTTTGGTGGGGCTGATGGTAAGGCCCCACCTCTTAGTGGCACGCTCCAGTCTCAGCAGCAGCGTCTCCAACTCCTCCTCTGACTGAGCAGCTATTACCAAATCATCAGCATACATAACGTGGTTGAGTTAAACCCTACTACACACACCCAGCCACACACACACCCAGCCACACACACACACCCTACTAAACACACCCAGCCACACACACACCCAGCCACACACAACAACAACCGCCATTCGCCACTAAGTGGCGGTGACGTCACCACGACGCTTGTGCCAGGCTATGTGCACCTTGAGGCCACGTGAAGTGTCGAACGCCCGCTGGCAGGTCATGGGGCAGACCCAAGTGCCACGCGTCGACTAAGATGACTGGCTGATGCACCACCTGTGCCCCCTACTGTGCCAACCTGCTGTGCTTTAGCCACCCGGCGCTCCGCTCGTTGTTGTGAGCGTCGCTCCTCCGCCCTCCGTTGTTGTTGGAGGGCGACTGCCTCCAACTGCCCAGTAGCAGCAGCACCGTCCTTCACGAGCCTCCTCCACAGAGGCCGATCTTGACACCGCTGGTACCAGTCATCGGCAAGTCCACTCAGCTCCACGTCCTCCTGTACCCCATCACTCCATCTCTTCTCTAGCCCGTGCCGCGCCTTGTTTAGCCCTCTGGATCCGGCCGAACAAAAGCTGTTTCGGCATGCGGTGGCTGGGCATGCGGGCTACATGAACCAGCCAATGCAGCCTTGCCTGCCGGAGCTCACCGATGAGTCCTTGCCCAGATCTTTCAAGATTTGTGAGCTCTTCACACAATCCAGCCTGGTTAAACCCAGGATGGATCGTAGGCAGGCTAGCCTAAATGTTTCTAACCGGCGAAGATGTTCCATTAAGGGGGTCCACGTTTCGCAAGCGTAGAGAAGGGAGGGAATGACCGTGGCCGAGAAGACCTGAAGCGGAGCGACTGATTCGGAGACCTCTGCTGTTAAACTGGAGCCGGTCATAAGCACACTGCCCAGGTATGGGAAACTCTCCACTCTCTCCACAACTGCCCCATCACCGATTGGGAGTTGTGGGGGTGGAGTGTCCGATGCTACAAAATACCCAGGCATGCTCCAGTCTCAGCAGCAGCGTCTCCAACTCCTCCTCTGAATGAGCAGCTATTACCAAATCATCGGCATACATAACGTGGTTGAGCAATAGGGAGCCATCCCTTGACCGCACACACACACCCTATCACACACACACACACGTACCTGACACACACCCTGCTACACACCCTGCTACACACACGCACCCTGCCACACAAAGATCCCCCGTATAGCCTTAGCAGACTGTAGGGGCAAGTGCTGTTAGCGAGCACCTATAAAGGCCGGCACGGCACGCGAGGAGGGGGTGGCCAGCACCACGCCCGACCGCCTTTGTCTCCCTAGTGGCGATGTTTACACCAGGTACTCATTTGAGGCTGAGTCGACCTAGGGAAGGCCCAGGACCGGTGTTGGCCGTGAGCGGGAATCGAACCCGGGTCGCCAGGTTCATAGCGCAGCGCGCTAACCGCTACACTATCGCTCCCCACACCCAGACACACACAGACACACACACGCACCCTACTACACACACAACCTACTACACACACAACCTACTACACACACACCCTGCCAAACACACCCAGCCACACACACACCCTACTAGACACACCCTGCCACACATGCACCCAGACACACACACCCTATCACACACAAACACCGGGCTACACACACACACCGCGTGAGTGAGGTCACGGGGCACACCCAGTGTTAGGGGTCGACTGGCTGAGATGACTGACAGATGCGTCAACTCGCGCCCCACACTCACACCCATCACGCACACCCTGCCAACAACACACACCCTGACAACACACACACCCTGACAACACACACACCCCCTGACAACACACACGCACACACCCTGCAACACACAACACACACCCTGCAACACACAACACACCGCATGGGCAGAGGATGATAGCCGCGGTCCCTCAACGTCGCCGCTGGTGACGCGCGTGAAACCGGGGGGAGAGGGAGCGGTCCTAGGGACCGCGGTGAAGCGCAGCGCGCCCTCGCTATTGGCTACTGCTCTACCCCCCCCCCCCCAGGGAGCCTCCCCCCCCCGCATGCCCCTCCCCGTTGCCATAGCGACGACGCGGGGCCACGGGCAGTGGTGGGGTGGGAAGGTGGTCGTGGTGGTGGTGGCGTGGTGGCGTGGTGGTGGTGGCGTTCTGGACGACTCGCGGCGATCATCGGCGGCGGTGAGAGCCCCAAATCCCCGTGCTGCTGGGACCTCCCCTCCCCTTAGGTCGGACTCACAGCCATGTACGCGTACGCCCTGGTCGCGCTGCCGTACCGCGTCAACCCCATTCCGTTTTAGAGCCCGTATTCTTGTACGGGGGGAATAGAGTTTCAGTTTAATTTATTAGGTACTAGCTGTACTACCCGGCTTCGCCCGGGACTTGGATTCACCACGCCCGGCCGCCTTTGTCTCCCCAGTGGCGATGTTCACACACCACAGCCGGTGCTGGCCGTGAGCGGGAATCGAACTCGGGCCACCGGGTTCGTAGCACGGCGCGCTAACCACTACACTACCGCTCCCCCCATACACACACAGATACACACACACAGATACACACAGATACACACAGATACACACACACAGATACACACACACAGATACACAGACACACACAGATACACAGACACACACAGATACACATACACAGATACACACAGATACATATACACACAGATACACACAGACACACACAGACAGCGCGCTAACCACTACACTACAATGCGTTACGCTTCCACGTGCGCGGGTCACGTGACAGATTTGACGTCACAGCTCACTTGCCGTGCAAAAAAATAAATGCATTATTGAGCTCCCCCCCCTAAAAAAAACAACAAAAGTGTATTTTTATAATTTCTGCATGGTGTAAAGTCTGGAAAGTACCCACATGGCAAATGTCCAGTTTGTTGCATGTCGGGAAGTACGCTAAACATTTTGAACAGACAACACATAATCACAACTTTGCCTTTTATATATGGAGATAACCCTGTGAGCCATGCGGCTCTTGACTCGGGTGCAGCCGTAACAAAGCAAAAACATGAACAAGAAACATCTTAAAGTGACTACGCGCAACAGAACAATCCAGGGAAAAAAAAACAGCAAAGTCTTCCAGAAAAAAAAGCACCGTATATCAACGCTGTGTGCAAAAATCCCAGTGGGATGCAAGTCAAACAATAACAACCATAAGACAATGTAGATTAAAGTTATCAGGCTAACTCTGTACTACAACAAACAGGTCCATACGGCGTACGGCCGTTTTGTTGTCTGTGTTTCTCTTCCTTGCGATGGGACTTTGTATGCGAGTCTGAGTCAGTGTGTCTATGTGTGAGTCAGTCTATGAGTCAGTGTGTCTATGTGTGAGTCAGTCTATGAGTCAGTGTGTCTATGTGTGAGTCAGTCTATGAGTCAGTGTGTTTATGTGTGAGTCAGTCTATGAGTCAGTGTGTCTATGTGTGAGTCAGTCTATGAGTCAGTGTGTCTACGTGTTAGTCAGTCTATGAGTCAGTGTGTCTATGTGTTAGTCAGTCTATGAGTGAGTGTGTCTATGTATGAGTCAGTTCGTCTATGAGTCAGTGTGTCTATGTGAGTCATACCTGTCGAGCCATACGGTTTACCCCGTATTCTTGTACAGGGAAATGCGTTTTGTCTTACTCCCTTGTGATGGGACTTTGAAGGATGAACGTTGAGATTTATAAGGGGCACGGGGTGACCAATAAGGTCTTAATTGGTCTGTAATAAGGTAAGGGCACTGATAAGGGGTTGACAAGTATATAGTAGTGTATAGCAGTGTAGTGTGTAGTGTATAGTAGCCTCAACGTGCACATAACCTGGCAAAAGCGCCATGGTGACGTCACTCCCACTTACTGGCGAAGGGCGGTTGTTGTATAGTAGTGTATAGTGTAGTGTATATGTAGTGTATTGTAGTAGGAAGTAGTGTATAGTGTAGTGTATAGTCGTGTACAGTGTAGTGTATAGTAATGTATAGTAGTGTAGTGTACAGTGTAGTGTATAGTAGTGTATAGTGTAGTATATTGTAGTAGGAAGTAGTGTATAGTAGTGTATAGTAGCATACCAGGCAACCCTGTGCAGGGAAATTGAGTTTTCAGGTCCATAAGGCGTACAGCCGTTTAATAACCGGCAACAAAATATTTTTGTAGACAGTATTTGTGTTTTTCCCTTGTGTGGTCGCGTGGATTTTTCTCAAGTTCCTCCTGTTTTTCCCTCCACATTTATAATCGACACGCGTTTACAGTATTTGGCTGCTATACATTTCCATATGACGATAAGCCACTTGATTGAGCTATAATTTGTGGGCAGGTTCGCTTATAAAAAAAAATAACTACATAGCTCAGTGGGCCTTACATGGTAAATATTTTTGTGTTTAGTTTGTTGTCCTCCCCCCGCACCTCCTTTTTTTAGTGGACGTGGTAGTTATTGTTTTGTTTGTTGCAGTTGTAAACTGTAGTTACCGTAAAATTTTGATTTAAAGCATTCGTGACTGCAGGGATTCATATTCTTGATTATTTCGGTAAAGTCACGTAGAAGGGAAACAATAAAATAATAAAAATATAAAACAATAAAATTCTCACGACGTTTCTACTGCAACACAAGCAATCATCATCAGGTGATGATGATGATGATCAGGTGATGATGATGATCATCACCTGATGATGATTGCTTGTGTTGCAGTTGAAATGTGAGAATTTTATTGTTTTATATTTTTATTATTTTATTGTTTCCCTTCTACGTGACTTTACCGAAAGAACCAAGAATATGTAGTTACCGTAGTTATTGAGCTTGTAGTACCTGTGGTTGTTGTTACTGTTGTCATTGTTCTGTATGCAGTGGTAGTTGTTACTTCGTTGAGCTATCATTTGTGGCCAGGTCGCTTCTGATAAAGAGCCGTATAGCTCCGTGGGCCTTACCGGGTAACATAAAAAGTGTATATTTATATTCTTTGGGTCTTTCGTTAAAATCACGTAGATAGGTTCACAGAAAATAACAAAAAACTGCCACGTTTTGATCGCAACACAAGTGATTGTCATCAGGATGGAAAAAAAAGAGGGAGAAAGCTGCTGAGGCTGACTGTTTAAGTCAAGATAAAAAGTTTCGTTTAGTATTGAGTCCACACGAGGTGACATTTGCGTACGGCCTTCATTGAAGTTCTTGGCACGACACAACATGCACACTCGTAGGAAGCCTTCTCATCATGTGCTAGGGCAGGGGTCGGCAACCAATATAACAAGAAGAGCCATTCTTTCGAATTCGGTACGAAAACTCAATGTTTATAGAGCCGCAATGCATGTGAATACACACGTACACGCATACATTATGCCACGAAGCAGTCCGTAAAGGAGCCACATGCCTCTCCGGAGCCGCAGGTTTCTGACCCCTGTGCTAGGGCATACATCACACACCCCTTTACATACTCTCTGCCCCCCACTTCTCTCCCCTCCCCCCCCCCCCACGATGTCCTCACGTCGCCCTAATGTGTCCCAACACGACCCTTTCATCAGGGATCTCAAAGCGCTGTGCAAGACACAGCAGCAGCAACAGACACTTTGATGGCAACTCCTGAAGCCAAACACGGCATGACACTAAAATAAACACTAAACACCAATTGCTGCATTAACTAGAAGTTGAATACACCTGAGTGTGTAGATACGTTTTAAGATGTGCATTTGAAAATACCATGAATGTCGAGTGTGTGTATGCGTGCTGAGAATGTCATCGCAATCCTCAGAATCGCTTCTGTGCCCAGGACCCCGACGATCGCTGCGCTCCGTCTCCACAGCGGAACGACCTCGGCGCATTCCCTCTCCTTCGCCCTCGCCACCGCCGCTGCTCCCTTCCGTCGCGCTCGCGCGTCACCGTCGATCCATGGAATCGCCGGCAGTGCCGCTGACATTGCCGGACTGCCACCGCCGCCGCCGCTCTCGGCGCCGCCTCTGCCGCGCGGCCGGGGCGGCCCACGGGTCCGTGAGCGAGCCGCTCGGCGCCGGCGCCGCGCTGGCCGTCGCAGGCGCCCTGGCGGACACCGTGGGGCGCTGCCTGGGCCCCGCGTGCGGGAGCCTCCTGTTCGCGCGCGACACGGGCGACGTGCTCCTGATGGCAGATGGGAGTCGCGCGCTCGCAGCGCTCCGGCTGGAGCACCCCATGGCCCGGTAACGTGACCCTCGCTCGGCCAACCAATTGGGCGGCAGAAGAGCAGCGCGGTGGTAACACTCGGGTCCCGTAGCAAGATGGGCCCTGGGTTTGAATCCCGACATGAGTGGGTTTCTGTGAGGAGTTGGGCATTCTCCCCCGCTTCTGGGTTTCCTCCGGGTTCCCCCAATATCCTCCCGTGGTTAAATAACCCGCGGACAATGTAAATGGTATTTGCTAAACATCCAGGTGCTAAAAAATGTCCTGTAATTTACTCGATTGGGATTACACACAGCAGCATCATCGCCCCCGACTGTGAAGCTACCGCAGACTGTGATGATTGCCTTGTGCTATAAGAATGACACGAATAACAAATGTACTCATTGTTACTATTATCCTGTGGTGCATTCACAACCCAGACACCGTGCGTTTTGTGTGCCCCGGTGGTTCGACGCAGCATGGTGGTGGATTGCACGTTGGCACACTGCGCCGTCACGGGCGACGGTGCCAAGTCCTTCGTTCTGCTGCTGGCGTCGCTGCTGCGCAGCGCCGGCCTCGGCCCGGGAGCAGCGGCGACGGCACTCTGCGGCGGCCACCCCCCCACTAGTCCCGGCGCTCACGAGCGCAGGGAAACCTCCTCTTGCCGGGCCTTCGCCGGCCAGGTGCCCGCGCTGCAAACCGACGTGCTGGATGGGATCGTGGGAGAAAGAATGAGGCGGCACATGACCCTGGCGAACCTGGAGTCGGAGCGAGACCTCAGGGATTCCACGGAGGGCATCGTGAGGACCTCCTTGTCCTGCAACCTGGGCGCTGCTGCGGCGGAGGCCCTCGTGCCGGCGGTGCTCGGCCTCGTCTTCCCGCGCGGCACCGACGTCCCGCGCTTCGGGGAGCGCGTGAGCTTCATCCTCGGCAACTTTCCGGAGATGTGCACAGAGGTCAGCGGCGCGCCCGTCAGCCGCAGCCGCTGCCTGGACGGCGTGCTGCTGCGCAGGGATTTCACGGTGCGCCCCTCCGGCGAGGACGTCGACGGCGACGTCCGCTTCGTCGCCGTGACGGGGCGGGTGCGGCCGTTGTCTTCGGAGAGCCTGGGCGTCACCTGGCAATACGGGACGGTCTCTGAATTTCAGCAGGCACAGCTGTGGGCCGACAGGTACGTGGAGAGGTTCGTGGAGGCGCTGGCGAGGGATGGCGTCCGAGTTTTGTTCTCCGCCGTGAAGCAGAGCGACTGCCTCCTGCACTACGCGCGGCACGGCGGCCTGGCGGTGGTGGAGTGCGTTCCCGCGGAGGAGCTGGCTTTCCTGTGCGACGTCGCGCCGTGCGAGGCCCCGCCGACTGAGTGCGGCGACACCGTCGCCCGGCTCGCGGGCTCTCTGACGTTTTGCCGCAGGCTGGAGTTGGGGGGCGGCCGTGCCTGCGTGCACGCGGGAGTGCGGCGAGCGCTGCGTTCCCTCGTGGTTTACGCGCCGGTCCAGGGAGTCGCGTCCCAGTACGCGGCCGCCGTGACCGGTGCTCTGAAGACGCTACGGATGTGGGCTCGCCCCGTGCCGTGCCGCGCCGATCTGCGCGACGGTTCGGCCGTGGTGCCGGCCGGGGCCGTCCTCCCGGCCGGAGGGGCGTTCGAGTTCCTCCTCCACCATTACCTGTGCGAGGTGGCCGACGGGAAGCGTGAACCGCTTCTGGCGCCGCCCCTGCGGCAGGCGTGCGCCGTGCTGGCCGAGGCGCTGCTCGAGATCCCGCGGCGGCTTCACCGCAATCTCCGCCCCGACCGCCGGTTCCTGACGCTGCTGAGCGCGGCGAGCGCGGGCCTGAGGGCACGGGGAGAGCTGGACGGGCATCTGCTCAGCATCGGGGGCGGGGTGGAGCCGGTGGCGGCCAAGTTGCAGCTCGTGGGCGATGTGCTCCAGTGTCTGCAGAGACTACTCCGCGTTGACGTGGCGGTGAGGGTCACCGGGCGGCTGGTGGATGGCGTGCGCGGGCACCACGGTGACTCGGAGGACGACTCGTGAACGCGCGGCGGCGCGCGTACGCAGCAGGGTGACGGCGGTGCAGCAGTGACGCAGCAGGGTGACGGCGGCGCAGCAGTGACGCCCGCTCGCGATAGTTCTTTTGTGCAGTCGCTGGTGAGCGCTCGCGTGATTTGAGAGTCTGCATTCATCATGGGGTGGCTACCCGGATCCGGGCTCGGAATCTCGGCACTGCTGGCGCAGTGGGTGGCGGCGAGGTGGTGACACACGTGCTTCACAGCAAGAAGTTTTCCTGGGCTCGGTTGCAGAGTTTGTTCTCCGCCTGTTCTGCATGGGTTCTGCACAGCACAAGTGAGGGCAGCCCTGCACATGGGTAATTGCACGTTGGTTGACATAATCCAGGGTTGATGGACTGAATCACAACTTGTCGATAAATAGAATTCCCCACTATCCGACACCAAAGGTGTGGTTGCTTGACACGTGTTATTTTTTTTTATGATTTTGATAACTCAACCCACTCCACCACTCATTCATCAATTCACTCATCCACTCGTGCAACTCCGAACCACTCTTCTTTAGGTGGGTCTTGCCAAGTTTTCTCAGTAGGGTGGAGGCAATATTTCTGCTATGTATAATTCCAACTGAATACATTTTCACTTTGGGGATCTTTGGGGCCGTCCATAAATGACGTCACGCACCTGGGGGGGGGGGGGGGGTCAGACATTTGTGACGATGTGTGGCAAGGGGGGGTTGAGAAATATGACGTCACATCAAATTAGCACTATTAAATAAATATAGACAACACGTTCTACTTATATTCTTGGTTCTTTCGGTAAAGTCCCTTCTACGTGACTTTACCGAAAGAACCAAGAATATCAATCCCTGCAGTCACGTTCTACTTAATTGAATATACGTTTTAATTAATGTTTTCTCCTACAACATCAGAGTGCAGCGCCACATTAAATACGCACTACAATGACAATATTTTAAAGCGATTTTAAGCATGTTTTTTTTTGGGGGGGGGGAGGGGGAGGGCAGAGCTTTGTGACGTCATATTTGAGGGGGGATCTGACTTTTTGTGATGCCGTGTGACGAAGGGGGGTGGGGTAAAATATCGTCCAAATTCGTGTGACGTCATTTATGGACGGCCCCTTTGGCTAATACCAGTTTCAATGCATGTGGATTTTTTTTTATATTTGAACAAGAGCCCGGTACAGAGTGTGAGGAGGTGAAGGGGGTTTCATTCCCCACAGAGTTGATTCGATTGAGGGGCTAAGGTTAGTGTCACAGATGCTGCATCTTAAGGCAGTCCGGGGAAGCGTCAGTGAATTTGGGGGATGGAGGGGGGGGGGAGATCAGAGAGCAATCGGTCAAGATACAGATGAAATTGGAGACGGATAGCCGTACAGAACCGAATCGCCCCGTGTCTCCAAGCCTTGCAATGAATACGTGTTGTCAACGCGCCAAAGTCGTGGTCTCAGCATCTTCAAGAACTTTTTCAGGAGGATCCTGCCAAGTTTGCAGTAGGGGGCGATTTTGCTGCTGCTGTGTGTCATGCCAATAGTCATTTACAGATTCAGCATTGGGAATGTTTGTGGCCTATACCAGTTACATTGCACGCGTTTTTCTATTTATCTACGGGAGTAAACCGAAGAGCCCGGAGGAAACCAATGGACAACAGCAGGAGAACATACAAATTCCAACACACGCTGAAGAACAGGGTAATAATACACAAACTCTACGCATTAATGCGCCCAGGGCCGGGAAACGAACACACACTTCTTGGTGCGAGGAACGAGTATTACCACTGCTCCGCCACGCTTTCACCCAAGCCATGTGAAGTCGCGATAACAAGACAAAGTTAAGGCAAAATTGGTCCCAACTGTTATCATTGTTGACTTGGAGCTTTCGTGACTGCAGAAATTCATATTCTTTGGATCTTTCGGTAAAGTCACGTAGATAGGTTCAAAGAAAATAACAAATTATTAAATTTCATTTTTTGTTATTTTTGGTTATTTTCTTTGAACTTATCTACGTGACTTTACCGAAAGACCCAAATAATATGTTATCATTGTTGCTCCCAGAGCTCTGGATATGATATCTTTTGACACATTTTCAGAGGCATGTTCCTTTTGAAACGCAGCTGATTGTGTGCCTCTGGAACGTGTTAGTCTCAGATAAGACTGACATGCCGCCGTCCGCGAATGAAGATGAGATCGAAACCACAGACAAGCAATGGGATTTGTAAACAACTTCATTGATTCAGGTTTCACGTACCACGTACGCCAAGCCTGTTTTTGTCGACAAGAGATTCCTTCCTACCAAGACGAACTGATGACCTGCCAGAGTTGCCCCGGGGCAGGATTGGAACATGGCCAGCAGAGCGGGAGCCCAGCGGTGATGTTTCAGCCTCAAGATCAGCAAGGTCATGGGTTCGATTCCTGACTCGGACACCATTAGTGGATGGAGTGCATATGTTCTCCCTCCATTCTGTATGGGTTTCCTCTGGGTTCTTCGGTTACCTCCTCTGGCTAAATAAACCCACCCAGTGTAATTGTTATTGGCCAAACATCCCAGTACTGTTAAATTACCTGCAAATTACTCAATTAGGATCACACTCCAGAGTACAGCTTTGTGGGACGTCAGCAATTGGCCATCCTTTTGCATAGCCTGCTGCGTGCCATAGGAATGTGGAGTATCCATTACTTGGTGGGAAATGCAGACGTCCCCAGTGCCCCTTATGAAAACAGGAGAGTGGATTTACTGGCCTGCGTTGGTGGCTTGAGCTCCTTGTTGAACAGAGATGCGACGACCCAAGGCTACCCAAGATTCCAGGAGGGTCCTGCACTTGAGAAGCCAGTTAAATTTTTCGGAAGACGTGCTCCCCACTGTGCCAACGTTCCGTATTCTAGGCACCCGGCTAAATTAGTCATGGCTAGGACCATATAAAAACTCGTATGGACTATTCTAGATTTAAAGCTTTCGTGATTGCTAGGATCCATACTCTTTGGTTCTATTGGGTAAAGTCACGTAGGTGACTTTACCCAATAGACTGTCCTCCAGACAGTCTCGTCCCTTCACCTGATGAAGGCCGCTTGTGTTGTGGCCGAGACGTCGTGATTTTTTGTTATTTTATTTTCACCTACGTGACTTTACCCAATAGAACCAAAGAGTATCGTATGGACTAGTTGTGAGTCTATAGATTAGTGAGTGTGCAGGTGGGTGAGTGTCCAAGTGAGTGTACAGGTAAGTTAAAGTACAGGTGAATATACAGGTGAGTGAGTGTACAGGTGAGTATGCTAGTGACTGTACAAGTGAGTGTACAGTTGAGTGTACAACTGAGTGTACATGTGAGTGTACAGGTGAATGTACAAGTCAGTGTAAAAGCGAGTGTACAGGTGAGTAAAAGTGCAGGTGAGTGTACAGGTGATTATACTGGTGAGTGAGTGTACAAGTGTGTACAGGTTAGTGTAAAAACGAGTGTACAGGTGAGTGAAAATACAGGTGAATGTACAGGTGAGTGAGTGTACAAGTGAGTGTACAGGTGAGTGAAGATGGAAAAGAACTGTTCACAAAACAAGACATGGATTTAATCTCATTTGGTGCAACAGTGCATATCTTTGACAAACAGAGTGAAATGTCTCAAAATACACCGCCACTGTTCACATCACCCGCTTCTTCCTCTTCACACGCCAACCCTAAAAATGTTTGTGAAAGTCATCGCCCATACTTCTCGTTTAGTCCCTTATCCGAACTGGATGTGTTTCTTAAGCTACCATCAATTGAGACAATAATCATTCACGGGAGAAGACGAGTTACCTGTAGCTGTGGCAGATCTCATTGATAAACCTCTCGAGCACATTTTCAACCTCTCACCGAAGGTGCATTTCCGCTCGAGTGAAAGTCCATTCTTATTCGTCCAGTATATAACAATTACTCTGAAATAAAACCCTATTTAGCCGACCTGCCCCGTCGTTACGATCACGGGAGAGGGACCGGGGCGGAGGGGGGCAGCTACACTTCTGCAAAACCAAAAACTTTTTCCGAGAAACTCGGCCTTAAATTTATTTGAATAAAAGTGGTTTGTGCAATGCGCTGCTTTTATAAGTGTGATGTGTCGAACGTGCGATTTGGACATTTCAATTTATTCCGGTAAATGTTTCCAAGTACCCGGTGCAGTGTGGTAACATTAGGGTGGAGATGGTCACATTCCACGCCTGCCTTAACAAGTGCTCACTAACCGTACTGGCTCTCGCAATTGATAAGGCCTTGTGTTAACGCATGAGCCTCGCATTAAGAAGGTTACTGGGTTCGATTCCCTATTCGGCACCTTTCTGCGTGTGGAGTTTGCTTTCTTGCCAAAGCTAAACCCCCCCCCCCCACCTACCCCGTACAATGTAACTGGTGTTGGTCAAATTTTCCAAATTAAAAAAATTAAACTGCAAATGACTTAATTCGGATTCCACAGCAGAAACATCGTCCCCTACTGCAGACTATCTCAGTTTTCATGTATTAGGTATATCCCTGTGAGCCATTCGGCTCTTGACTCGGGTGCAACCGCAACAAAAACATGAACAAGAAACATCTTAAAGTGACTACGCGCAACAGAAAAATCCAGAAAAAACAGCAAAGTCTCCTAGAAAAAGCACCGTATATCAATGCTGTGTGCAAAAATTCCCAGTGGGATGCAAGTCAAACAATAACAATTTAGATTAAAGTTATCGGTCTAACTCTGTACTACAACAAACAAATATGGCTAAACCAAAACGTTTTCGAAATCACCAAAATTTAAAGCTATAAAAGCAATGTAACAGTGATCATAGGAACTGTGATTGAAATTGTACGATAAACGATATACATAACATGTACTACCAAACTTTGCAGCCATAGCTGGCTGCATGAGTGACTCCATAACAGCAGGAGTATCAGTAGCAGTATCAAAACATTTCAATGCACTTTTAAAGATCAGCACACTATAATCGAAACTCAAGATCATACTTTTCAGCGGTCATCCAGAGTTGTTCCTAGCCTATGTGCAATGTTTAACTTCTTTCCCACCATACGCAGCCAACTGTGCTAATCGGAGGTGCAATGTTAGTCTATGGACAATTTAGTCTTAACTTATTATTTCGTACTAGCTTGTTTGCCCGTCCAAGGACGGGTGTATATTGCACTAAATGTGAAATATGCAATAGAAAAATTGTTTAGCTCATGATTATTAATGAAGGGTGGGGGGGGGGCCCATGTAGAATGACGTCACC